TTTGTTACCAGTAATAGTATTGCAAGCTGATCTGTTTTCAGTGTGGTGTTGGTATCACTTAAGCAAAAGAACAGGTTATGTTACTGTGAGGTTGGGTAAATTTGCTGTTATGGACAAGCATGTGACTCAACAGTCCTGCCCATTTCATATTTGCTTACTAGTGCCTCTGAGATCATTGAATGCATCCATGCTGTGTGTCCTGAACCATAGAATCATTTGGGTTGGAAAAGACCCATAAGATCATTGAATCCACCCATTAACCTAACATTACCAGGTCCACTGCTAAACCATGTCCATAAGCGCCACAGCCACCCACACATCTCTTCAGTACCTCTAATGGTGATTCTATCACTTTCCTGCTCCAAAGCCTAACCACTCTTCTGTGAACAAATTCTTCCTGATATCCAATGTAAATATCCTCTGATGCAACTTGAGCCTATTTCCTTGTATTCTATCACTTGTCACCTGAGAAAAGAAACTGAAATCCACATCTCTGCAAATTCCTTTCAGGCAGCTGTAGTGAGCAGCCAGGTTTCCCCTCAGTCTTTCTTTCTCAACCCCACTTCCCTCAGTCACTCCTCAGAAGTCTTATCTTCTAGACCAGGTTGCCTTCTAGTCCTGTCATCCTTGTTCCAGACAATAACCTTTTTATAGTGAAGACCCCCAAAGTGAGTCTATTGAGGTGCAGTCTCACCAGGGCTGATGACAGAAGGACCATCCCTTCCATGGCCCTGCTTGCCCCACTGGCTCTGATGCAGGCTAGGTGCCATTGGCCTTCTTGGCCACCTGGACGTGCTGCTGGCTCATGTTCAGCTAGCTGCAGAAACAGACCCCCAGGTCATTTTCTGCAGGTAACTTTCCAGCCACTCTGCCCCCAGCCTGCAGTATCTGAGGCTGTTGTGACCAAGTGCAGCACCCAGCATTTAGCTTTGTTGAATGTCATACAACTGGCTTCAGCCCATTGACCCAGCCTACCCCAACCCCTCTGCAAAGCCTTTCTGCTCTCAGGCGGATCAATCCTCCTGACCAGTTTGGTGTCATCTGCAAACTTGCTGAAGGTGCATTTCATCCTCTCCTCAAGGTCAGTGATAAAAATGCAAAACAAAACCTGTTCTAGTTCTGAGCCCTAGGTAACATCACCTGTGACTGGCTACCTTCTGATTTAACTCTGTACTTTGAGTCCACCATACAGACAGTTTTTTACCCAGCAAACAGTACAACCATCCAAGCCATGAGCAGCCAATTTCTCCAAGAGAAGCTGTGGGAAACAGCATGTCATCTTGTCATAGATGGGGGATCAGGTTGGTCCTGCAGGACTGTCTTTCACAAACCCATTCTGACTGGATCTGATCATCTAGCTGTCCTGTACGTGCTATGTCATGGCACTCAGGTTGATCTGCTCCATGACCTTCACTGGCACTGGCATCAGACTGACAGGCTGGTTATTCCCTCGAGTCCTCCTTCCTGCCCATCTTGTAGGTGAACATCATATTTGTTAAACTCTGGTCAACTGGGACCTCTCTGGTTATACGGAACTGCTGACAGGTTATTGAAAGTGGCTTGATGAGCACTTCTGCCAGCTCATTCTGTATCTTTGGGTGAATCCTGCCTTTTAAAATTTTTAAATTGCCTTAATCTGTACCAATGAAATTATGTTCTAGCTGAGTTTTGACCCTTCTCATTTGCTTCCCCCATTACTGCACATCTTTGCAGTCTCCTGAATTGCTTGCCTCTTCTTCCAAAGGTCATAACTTTATTTTTCTTACTGAGTTCCAGAAGAAGCTCTCTGCTCAGCTAGGCTGGTCTTCCATTCAGCACATGGGGACAACCTGTTCCTGTACCTTTAAGATTTCACTCTTGAAAAATGTCCAACTTTTCTGGACTCTTTTTGCCTCTCGAACTGCCTCCCAAGGGACTCCAACAATCAGGTTCCCATCTTGAGAACCAGTTAACAGAAGAATTTGAACTGCATATGCTTCCCTCAAGTACAGGTGAGTCTGGATACGTATAATTTTGATTTAGACTTTCTGCAGGTTTGTTTGAATCTTCACCCAGTTATGACACACATTTCTAAATGTTGGGGGCTGGAATTAGGTGACCTTCAAGGTCCCTTTCAATCCAAGCCGTTCTATGAGTCTATGTGTGTGTAATATTCTGTGGATTAATTAAATTTACATGAGACAGCAAAATGTATGGGAATCTAGTAAGGAATAGAACTCAAAAAATATGCAGGAAGAAATAACGCAGCATGTGAATAGCTATAAAAGACTATTGTTCCTTCTCCAATGAACACCTTCTGATGACACAATTGCCCCAGTTGTCCCATGTTTATATTCAGATTATGGCGGGATAATGGGGCCATTACTTTTATCTAAAACTTAATAAAAACCTTTCACCTCTGATACTGTTTTCCTGCCATAAACAAGGATCAAGACAGGTGAATAACCACTGCCTGTTACTAAACGTAGCACACTTTAAAACCATTGTAATTGTTGATCAGTATTCTTGCTTGTCATAGCTTTGACGCATGTCAGTTTGGTTTTACAGCTTCTGGAAAGTAACTTAAAAACTTCCTCAAAGAATGATTTGTCTGTGATTCTCTATGGTACATCAGAGGTACTCTGGGAGGGCAAGTCTGTCTGCACTAGTAGTCAACTATTTGATGTCTAAATATGCCCTTAATAATTTCCTTAATAATTCTATTAGAGGTAATGATGTTTCACTGATATTGGTTGTCCTGTTTTGATAATTCTCTGTGCTCTCCCAGATGGTCAAATCTCCAAGTTTCCCCCTAAATTTGCAAGCAAAGAGGCACATGTAGCCTCATCACCTCACCTCTCACCAGGACAGCCTGTTGTGACAGCTGATCTGTCAAAAAGTAGAGGAAAAAAATCTGTTAAGTGTGCAGATGTTTGTTCAGTGCCTTTCCTGGTGCTTTTTGCATGGTGAAGGTGTCACACATCCCAGAGGTGACAGAAGCAAACAATGAAGAGTGGGAGTTAGTTCTAAAGGCATGGCTCAGGGTATGCCAGCCTCTCTTGTGCACTCATTGCAGAAAATAGCCTTCATGAGCTGGACAACGTAATCAGTAGCAGCTGATGTCGTCAGCCCTCAGCCATTATCATCTACACCTGCTGACTTTCAGCACACATTTCTGATAATACTCTGAGAAGTGGCCTGGTTCTTCTACTCTCAGTTTGCATCTTGGGGTGGCGGAGGTTTCCTGGTGTGAGACCAGAGCCCATTCCAGCACCCCGGGGACACCAGGGCAGCCTCTGTGACTGGGTCCTGGGCTCAGTCATGGCCTCTATAGCAGGAGCTGGGGGATGAAGCTACTCACTCCTCATGCTGGCAGAGAGGCACCCAACTACTATTGCTGTTTGCAAGCCACCAATATTTCCTGGTTCAGCACAAGTTAAAAGCTGAGGACAACCCCAGCACACAGACAGCTTGAGTAATGCTTTTGATCTTGCCCACCCTCCTACAGAGAGAGAGCCACCCTCTGAATGCATTATTAGATTAGCACACAGACTGCATGTCTTGTTAGCACAACAGGATCAGACAAAATCAGGTGAAGAAAGGGGAGAGAAGTTTCAAAAGCAAGTCGTCAATTTGCATTTGGAAATTGTTAACAACGTGCTAGTGTTGCTGACAGTGGCATTTGCCAGGAAAGAGCAGACTCCCACAGACTCCCACCAAAGTGGCACTGTGGGGATACACCAGTGGGTTGCTTGTGTTTTCTTGACCATGGGTTACAATGGCAGGATAATCTGTGTGTGCTTCCCAGAAAGGCTTTCCTGGCAGGTGCAGCAGGATCTAGGATCAGACAGACCTTCAGAGTGGGAGAAAGTTACTCAATGGCATCTTTTCCTGGAAAGGAGGAGCTGCAACATACCATGGGCAATTTGGCATCAATTGATTTCAAGTGGTATGTTTTACTGGGGCACAGTGTAGAACAAATGCACTGTTGAGCTAGAGAACTTGTGTAGGTGAGGCAGCTGAAAATAAGCAGTCTGCGGAGAAACAGCTACTGTCCACAGGTTTTCCTCCTCATGTTGGTCTTTACATCATTATTCTGTCATATTGAGTGGCATGGTTTAGTGAGCACAGTGGTGAAAGGTTGATGGTTGGACAGGATGATCTTCATGGTCTTTTCCAACCCTAATGATTCTGTGATTTTCAGAGCTTCCTGATACGTGATTTCAGTAAATCCATCAATTTTTTCCCAAGTTCAGGCTGTGTTAGTTGCTCCATGGCTCCCTGTGCTAATTCCCATTTCCAGGCTTCCTGAAGGTTCCCTGTAACAGCCTCAACATTCCTGTTTCCAAATGTCTCCCAGGTACAAACACAGTTACTCCTAAGAAAGAAGGGCTGTTGCCCAGGTAGTTAAATAGCTGCTGGCTGTCCTCCCTGTTCCTGCTTCTTTTGCCACACTGCTTTAACTAGCCCATAACACACAAAGATGTAGGCAAATAGACCAGCTGTAATCACTCCCAAAACAGCCAAAGCCAGCTCAGTTTTGTGAATGTTGAAGATGCAGGTGTTTTCTCTTGCTTTCCACCCTGAGCAGCTGATCAGTAAGAGATCCTCTGGGGTAAAATTTTGCTTTAAAGTATAGAGAGCTTGAGGTCTGAGACATAGAATTTGTCTGCACTGGCAATATATTGCAAAGAGTTGAGTGTGTAAGTCCCAGGTATTCTGCTCTAAGTACATCATTAGCATGCTTTGGAATGGAATAGCTTTTTCTCCTTTTAGGAACAGACTGCACTGCACCCTCCACCTAAATTACACCGAAAGTGTTTGCTGGGCTAGCAGGGATAGCTAGTGTCCTGTCAGTTTGTGTCAATGTATTTAGCATTAATTAACTTCCTTGTGTCAACAGGTCTCAAATGTTTATAACTTACAGGAAGAATACTGCGGGTCCAGAAGTCTCCTCCCAGTTTGAGAAGGAAGGAAAAAAACAGCTTGGATCTGTCATTTGCCACTTGCCACCATGACGTCAGCTCGGGGCTGAACTCCCTACCTGTGGCTGGGACCTTAAATGAGCTGACGCTGGAAGAGAAAAGCACTTCATCTCAGGTTTAGCGAGGAGTAGCAGCAGCAGCAGGGGCAGCAATGGGACACTGCATGTTCTTCACTGTGCTGCTTTGCCTGGTGTTGAGCCTTTCAGAAGGTAAGAAACATTATCTTCTGTTTTGGGATTTGTCTGAGGAGCTATTCTATTGCAGTGAATAGATTACTCAGTGCTTTTAGCAGCTGCTGAGAGACTGAAGTCAGTGGCCACGCACCATTCAGCACATCTAGATTTTGATTAATTAGTGATGAAAAACGTTACTGCAAGAAAACAGTTTTCCTTGTTCACAGAACAATGCAAAAGCACTGGGGCTTGTGATTAACCTAATTCAGCCTATTCCACAAGCAGTTTTCAGGACTTGCACACTAAACCCAGGTAATTCAAGCTCTATTACAGTAATCACAAAAGATGTGACTGTTCCAGCCCAGCACCCAGGAAAAAAAGTGCTGCCACTGCCCTTCCGGATGGAGTCTCCTTAAACAATCAGTCTGGAAAGCAGCACTGCTTGAACTGGCCCTCAGAGAATTCATTCCCCTCCTATTGAAGCTAATTAACAAGAACTTCGCCACCAGCTCAGATGGCAGAGGGTTGCCCTGTGCTCTATTCAAAGACAGGGCAGGAATCATTCCATAGACCGCTTAATCGTTTTTCTAGCCCTGTAACAATTTCGGTGGTTGCAGGTCAGAGTATCTGATATTCAGTAACAGATCAAGTGTAGCAGGGAGTTTGTAAAAGTAGCTGTAGGAGGAGTTTGGTGGCAACTTGAAGCTGTGAAAGGACAGGAAATCCCATTTACTTCAGGGACAATTAAACAGAGATATGACCCAAATTAAGACTTTCACTGATGCTGCCAAGATTGCATCAGATGGGGACAGATGGCAGTGAGTCTGTTACCTATTGTGAGTGAATATACATATTTATAGCAACATCTACAGCATACTACAATCAGATTTATAAATTATAAGCATAGAAGACTTCAAGTTTGGCACTTGGTTGGTTTTCTGTTTGGAGAACAACAGTAAGACTGAAAGATCTTGTCCTAGGAAGTACCAAAGGCGATGGGAGCCTTCCATTGACTTGTGTAGATTTTTCCTAAGGTTGTCCATGCCCAGAAACCTACTTCATTCTAAGCAAACACTGTAAAAGCTTTGTGTGTTGTGTCCATTTGCAAAGTACTCACAAAGACCTACTCTGCTTGGTACCCAGATGTCTGCTATTTCATAGCCTGAATCTTAAGATCTATTACGTCCATGGTAAATGCCTGAATCTATGACACATCCTGTTTCCTGGTACAGAAAGTTGGGGCTGGGCAGATAGGGCCATTAAAGAGCCACCTTTGCTTGCGTTACCTGTGCCAAGCCCAGGTGCAGTTCATGTGCTCTGCAGTCACACAGATGTGATTCTTCCTGAGTCCAAAGGGTACTTGTGGAGGGCTGTTAGCCAGCCTGTACAAAGCTAAACATTGTTGACTGAAGACGTTAGTGATGTAACATTGATTTTGAGAAGGAAGTTTAAAACAGTGCTCCAAACTCTTAGCCTGTAGACAACACAGAATCATGGCTATAGCCAAAATGTCCATTTCTTGACATCGACCAGGAAAAAAAACTCTGCCCGCAGGACTGAGAAACCACGTTTCCTCTTCACCCAGAACACACTAAGGGATTACTTTAGGCATTGCCTTTTTGGTGAGCCTTTTCCAAGACAGCTTTATTGATGAGAAGAAAAAGGCTTATTAAATTTGCTTCTCTTTTGGATTTTTGAAAACTTGCAAAAGCTTTTGAAGAGAGGGGCCTATTTTTCAAGTGTCTTTTGAGAATTTAGTGTTATTTGCAGTATTGTATTTAATACACCAGCTATAAGAGTTTTCTAGTGCCAAGAGTGTTAGCCACAAATATATGAGAGTTCCAGTTCATGCTGTTTAGATTAAATTATGAGTGTGACGTTAACCCAGATTAAATGCATTTATTAAGTAACAAAGACTGAAGTTAGGTTGTGTGATCCAAACTGTTCATTGCTATCACAAATTTAGCAGCAAGCCTGTTGTATTTTGTATATTGCTTCCTTTACTTTCAACACTAGACAGACAAACAAGGAAGAAAAAAAAATGACAAAAAAGTAAAGCATAATATCATGACTACATAGTAGTGCAGTCCTGGAAAAAAGATCTTGGTTACACTGATGATAATTTGGCAGAATTTGCCTTATATGAACAGAAATACACTACTTTCAATATGCACCTGAATTTGTTTCATCTGAGGAAATGGCATGAGAAAAGACACACGTTTCTCCATTACTACTCTGAAAGAGTCCATCTGGAATTTTTAATGATGCTCGAGAAAGCATCTCTTACAATTTCAAAATACTTATCTGTCTTGCAGTGAATGTAATATTTGTGGATTTAGGTGAGATTCAGCACAGGATCTGGAGAGTGCTAGCCATGCAGAACCTGCTTGGAGAACTTGGGGGGAACATTCCTTTGAAGACACATCTGTGCTGTTAATTGGGCCAGCTGTGGACATTGAGTATGTGCTTGGGGGAATGGCATGTGCTTCTGGGGAGGATGTGCAAACCGGGGAATATGGGCATGTCAGCCTAAAGAGCTGCCAGTGCTATGGACAGTATAAGGGCAGGACTAGTCTACAGTAGAACCCGTGCATGTCCCTTCCATATTTAATTTGAGGTTCTTGGGAACACAATCCTTGGGAAATCCCCAAGGATTTTCTTCCACACAACACTAAACATGGCTACCATGTCTCTTCTTTTCCGGTCCTCAGCTACCACACCTACAACATCTGGAAGCAGTACTACCATCACTGCAGTACTAACAACAGAAGGTAAGGATGTGAAAGCCCATAGGCAGAGCCTTAGGAAGGGATCACTCAGTATCAAATGTTCCAGAGCCCACATATGCTTGCTCATATACAATGGTTATGAAAGACGTCTCATAAATGCAAAACAAAGTAATGCTATCATGTCTCATTCCTTCAGCATAAAGCACATCTTGCTCTTTTGAGCAAGGCACTGCTGGGCTGCCCAGCACTGGTCCACTGGGCCATGCTCAGCTCCACTCCATATCTAATCTGAGATTGTCCTGAATGCAAAGTGGTTCCTCAAGAGAATTCAGCCCCCAACACGGAGCATTGCTATCATGTCTCTTTCCTTCTTCAGGAAACACATCTACAACAACTGACAACACTGCTGCCACCAATTCTTCATCATTATCACCAGGTAATTATGAAAAGTCCCTTCATCAGCCCATTAGGAGAGGGCTTTTTTCACTCAGTTCCAGGAGCTGCAGAGGCCACAGGCAGCACTGTGTCCCCCTGATCAGGGCACATGCCCTCGTCAGGAATAGATGGGAGATGATGTTGTGGATGTTTGGAGCACGGTCAGGGAAGGAGGTGGGGACTTGTCATTCCTGGTCAGACCCCAAGCCATCTGTTTTGTACGTATGTGCAGATACAGACACAGATGCTGCCGTGCTGCTACTACCGAGTAGTGCAGAGCAGGCCATCATGGGGAGCACAATCACAGGCTGGTGGGTGTCCTTGCCAGCTCTGGCAGCTGGTGCTGGCCATGCAGAACATGATGCAGTTTGAAGGAGGAGAGTCTTTGCTTTGGGTAGATATGCATGTGCTGGTGACAGGGCCAGCTATGGCCAGTGAGTGCAGCTGAGCTTGAGGAAGTGCCATGGACTTCTGGGGAACATGCTCAAGACTGGACATTGGAGGGAAGTGAGAATGGGCGAGTAAGTCTGAAGAGATATCAGCGCTATGGACAACCTGTAGGCAGACTGCCATACCGTGACAGGCACGGCCACTCCGTTGCAGCCCATTGCCTGCTTGCGTACCCTGTGGTTCCCCAAGGCCTGTGTTCCATGCAATCCTCATTAGTGAGACTACGTCTCTTCTTTTCCCTTCATCAGATAGCTCATCCACAACAACTGTGCAAACTTCCACTGCGTCTGAAACACTGCCAACAGGTAAGGATGGACAGTCCCTTCAGGAGAACTTGATGAGGACTTTTGTGTGTTTTTCAGAGCAAGGAGCTCCAAAACACATAGAGGCACACCCACACTCACTGTGTGTTCCCCTGCCTGGGTGGAGATGCCATTTCTGTACCTCCATGGGGAAGGGGTCGTGCTCATCCATCCCACCGGATGGTAGTTATCCCATCAGCTGCCCAGTCCCTCAAAGGACTGTGCTTGTTGCAGAGACTCCCATCAGTAATCCCGGGAGGAAGTTGTGCTCTCTCAGGGGTAGAGCGCGTGCAGGGAATGCACCAGTGGTGGCTGCCCTCATCCTGTTCTGTCAGACAGCGCTGACTGCACGGGGGCTGCCAGGTTAAACGTGGGGAGCTGTTCTGCAGGGAGACACGTGTGCCATTGCGTGGGGCTGATGTGGCCAGTGAGTGCAGCTGAGCAGGATGGGGAGCAGTGCCTTTGTGGAGAAGGTGCCTGAGCTCAGGGGCCTGTTGAAGGGAACCCAGTCCCATTGCAGTACAGATTCAGCTGGGCCATGGACCGCCCATAGGCCGTGCAAGGCTTCCCTTACCTGGCCCACTCAACCCCACACCAATCCCCTCCTTATTGAATCCGAGGTGCTCCTGAACACACAGTGGTGCCCCAAGGGTTTCCTTCCACGCAACACTAAGTATGGCTACCATGTCTCTTCTTTTCCCTTCCTCAGATACCACATCTACGACAACTGAGAACAGTACTACCATCCCTACAGTAACAACAACAGAAGGTAAGGATGGGAAAGCCCACTGGCACACCCTTAGGAGGGTGTTACTTGGTTCCCGGCATTGCACAGAGAGAAGCTGTGGCAAAAGCTTGCTGAAGAATTGCAGGGGGTTACTGCTGTGGCTCCTTGGAGCAAGGCACTGCAGGGCTGCCCAGGGCTGGTCCACTGGGCCACGCTCAGCTCCACTCCATATCTAATCTGAGATTGTCCCGAAAGCAAAGTGGTTCCTCAAGACATTTCCCCTTACACCAGAAAGTATTGCTGCCATGTCTCTTTCCTTCTTCAGGAAACACATCTACAACAACTGACAACACTGCTGCCACCAATTCTTCATCATTACCACCAGGTAATTATGAAAAGTCCCTTCATCAGCCCATTAGGAGAGGGCTTTTTTCACTCAGTTCCAGGAGCTGCAGAGGCCACAGGCAGCACTGTGTCCCCCTGATCAGGGCACATGCCCTCGTCAGGAATAGATGGGAGATGATGTTGTGGATGTTTGGAGCACGGTCAGGGAAGGAGGTGGGGACTTGTCATTCCTGGTCAGACCCCAAGCCATCTGTTTTGTACGTCTGTGCAGATACAGACACAGATGCTGCCGTGCTGCTACTACCGAGTAGTGCAGAGCAGGCCATCATGGGGAGCACAATCACAGGCTGGTGGGTGTCCTTGCCAGCTCTGGCAGCTGGTGCTGGCCATGCAGAACATGATGCAGTTTGAAGGAGGAGAGTCTTTGCTTTGGGTAGATATGCATGTGCTGGTGACAGGGCCAGCTATGGCCAGTGAGTGCAGCTGAGCTTGAGGAAGTGCCATGGACTTCTGGGGAACATGCTCAAGACTGGACATTGGAGGGAAGTGAGAATGGGCGAGTAAGTCTGAAGAGATATCAGCGCTATGGACAACCTGTAGGCAGACTGCCATACCGTGACAGGCACGGCCACTCCGTTGCAGCCCATTGCCTGCTTGCGTACCCTGTGGTTCCCCAAGGCCTGTGTTCCATGCAATCCTCATTAGTGAGACTACGTCTCTTCTTTTCCCTTCATCAGATAGCTCATCCACAACAACTGTGCAAACTTCCACTGCGTCTGAAACACTGCCAACAGGTAAGGATGGACAGTCCCTTCAGGAGAACTTGATGAGGACTTTTGTGTGTTTTTCAGAGCAAGGAGCTCCAAAACACATAGAGGCACACCCACACTCACTGTGTGTTCCCCTGCCTGGGTGGAGATGCCATTTCTGTACCTCCATGGGGAAGGGGTCGTGCTCATCCATCCCACCGGATGGTAGTTATCCCATCAGCTGCCCAGTCCCTCAAAGGACTGTGCTTGTTGCAGAGACTCCCATCAGTAATCCCGGGAGGAAGTTGTGCTCTCTCAGGGGTAGAGCGCGTGCAGGGAATGCACCAGTGGTGGCTGCCCTCATCCTGTTCTGTCAGACAGCGCTGACTGCACGGGGGCTGCCAGGTTAAACGTGGGGAGCTGTTCTGCAGGGAGACACGTGTGCCATTGCGTGGGGCTGATGTGGCCAGTGAGTGCAGCTGAGCAGGATGGGGAGCAGTGCCTTTGTGGAGAAGGTGCCTGAGCTCAGGGGCCTGTTGAAGGGAACCCAGTCCCATTGCAGTACAGATTCAGCTGGGCCATGGACCGCCCATAGGCCGTGCAAGGCTTCCCTTACCTGGCCCACTCAACCCCACACCAATCCCCTCCTTATTGAATCCGAGGTGCTCCTGAACACACAGTGGTGCCCCAAGGGTTTCCTTCCACGCAACACTAAGTATGGCTACCATGTCTCTTCTTTTCCCTTCCTCAGATACCACATCTACGACAACTGAGAACAGTACTACCATCCCTACAGTAACAACAACAGAAGGTAAGGATGGGAAAGCCCACTGGCACACCCTTAGGAGGGTGTTACTTGGTTCCCGGCATTGCACAGAGAGAAGCTGTGGCAAAAGCTTGCTGAAGAATTGCAGGGGGTTACTGCTGTGGCTCCTTGGAGCAAGGCACTGCAGGGCTGCCCAGGGCTGGTCCACTGGGCCACGCTCAGCTCCACTCCATATCTAATCTGAGATTGTCCCGAAAGCAAAGTGGTTCCTCAAGACATTTCCCCTTACACCAGAAAGTATTGCTGCCATGTCTCTTTCCTTCTTCAGGAAACACATCTACAACAACTGACAACACTGCTGCCACCAATTCTTCATCATTACCACCAGGTAATTATGAAAAGTCCCTTCATCAGCCCATTAGGAGAGGGCTTTTTTCACTCAGTTCCAGGAGCTGCAGAGGCCACAGGCAGCACTGTGTCCCCCTGATCAGGGCACATGCCCTCGTCAGGAATAGATGGGAGATGATGTTGTGGATGTTTGGAGCATGGTCAGGGAAGGAGGTGGGGACTTGTCATTCCTGGTCAGACCCCAAGCCATCTGTTTTGTACGTCTGTGCAGATACAGACACAGATGCTGCCGTGCTGCTACTACCGAGTAGTGCAGAGCAGGCCATCATGGGGAGCACAATCACAGGCTGGTGGGTGTCCTTGCCAGCTCTGGCAGCTGGTGCTGGCCATGCAGAACATGATGCAGTTTGAAGGAGGAGAGTCTTTGCTTTGGGTAGATATGCATGTGCTGGTGACAGGGCCAGCTATGGCCAGTGAGTGCAGCTGAGCTTGAGGAAGTGCCATGGACTTCTGGGGAACATGCTCAAGACTGGACATTGGAGGGAAGTGAGAATGGGCGAGTAAGTCTGAAGAGATATCAGCGCTATGGACAACCTGTAGGCAGACTGCCATACCGTGACAGGCACGGCCACTCCGTTGCAGCCCATTGCCTGCTTGCGTACCCTGTGGTTCCCCAAGGCCTGTGTTCCATGCAATCCTCATTAGTGAGACTACGTCTCTTCTTTTCCCTTCATCAGATAGCTCATCCACAACAACTGTGCAAACTTCTACTACGTCTGAAACACTGCCAGCAGGTAAGAATGGACAGTCCCTTCAGGAGAACTTGATGAGGACTTTTGTGTGTTTTTCAGAGCAAGGAGCTCCAAAACACATAGAGGCACACCCACACTCACTGTGTGTTCCCCTGCCTGGGTGGAGATGCCATTTCTGTACCTCCATGGGGAAGGGGTCGTGCTCATCCATCCCACCGGATGGTAGTTATCCCATCAGCTGCCCAGTCCCTCAAAGGACTGTGCTTGTTGCAGAGACTCCCATCAGTAATCCCGGGAGGAAGTTGTGCTCTCTCAGGGGTAGAGCGCGTGCAGGGAATGCACCAGTGGTGGCTGCCCTCATCCTGTTCTGTCAGACAGCGCTGACTGCACGGGGGCTGCCAGGTTAAACGTGGGGAGCTGTTCTGCAGGGAGACACGTGTGCCATTGCGTGGGGCTGATGTGGCCAGTGAGTGCAGCTGAGCAGGATGGGGAGCAGTGCCTTTGTGGAGAAGGTGCCTGAGCTCAGGGGCCTGTTGAAGGGAACCCAGTCCCATTGCAGTACAGATTCAGCTGGGCCATGGACCGCCCATAGGCCGTGCAAGGCTTCCCTTACCTGGCCCACTCAACCCCACACCAATCCCCTCCTTATTGAATCCGAGGTGCTCCTGAACACACAGTGGTGCCCCAAGGGTTTCCTTCCACGCAACACTAAGTATGGCTACCATGTCTCTTCTTTTCCCTTCCTCAGATACCACATCTACGACAACTGAGAACAGTACTACCATCCCTACAGTAACAACAACAGAAGGTAAGGATGGGAAAGCCCACTGGCACACCCTTAGGAGGGTGTTACTTGGTTCCCGGCATTGCACAGAGAGAAGCTGTGGCAAAAGCTTGCTGAAGAATTGCAGGGGGTTACTGCTGTGGCTCCTTGGAGCAAGGCACTGCAGGGCTGCCCAGGGCTGGTCCACTGGGCCACGCTCAGCTCCACTCCATATCTAATCTGAGATTGTCCCGAAAGCAAAGTGGTTCCTCAAGACATTTCCCCTTACACCAGAAAGTATTGCTGCCATGTCTCTTTCCTTCTTCAGGAAACACATCTACAACAACTGACAACACTGCTGCCACCAATTCTTCATCATTACCACCAGGTAATTATGAAAAGTCCCTTCATCAGCCCATTAGGAGAGGGCTTTTTTCACTCAGTTCCAGGAGCTGCAGAGGCCACAGGCAGCACTGTGTCCCCCTGATCAGGGCACATGCCCTCGTCAGGAATAGATGGGAGATGATGTTGTGGATGTTTGGAGCATGGTCAGGGAAGGAGGTGGGGACTTGTCATTCCTGGTCAGACCCCAAGACATCTGTTTTGTACGTCTGTGCAGATACAGACACAGATGCTGCCGTGCTGCTACTACCGAGTAGTGCAGAGCAGGCCATCATGGGGAGCACAATCACAGGCTGGTGGGTGTCCTTGCCAGCTCTGGCAGCTGGTGCTGGCCATGCAGAACATGATGCAGTTTGAAGGAGGAGAGTCTTTGCTTTGGGTAGATATGCATGTGCTGGTGACAGGGCCAGCTATGGCCAGTGAGTGCAGCTGAGCTTGAGGAAGTGCCATGGACTTCTGGGGAACATGCTCAAGACTGGACATTGGAGGGAAGTGAGAATGGGCGAGTAAGTCTGAAGAGATATCAGCGCTATGGACAACCTGTAGGCAGACTGCCATACCGTGACAGGCACGGCCACTCCGTTGCAGCCCATTGCCTGCTTGCGTACCCTGTGGTTCCCCAAGGCCTGTGTTCCATGCAATCCTCATTAGTGAGACTACGTCTCTTCTTTTCCCTTCATCAGATAGCTCATCCACAACAACTGTGCAAACTTCTACTACGTCTGAAACACTGCCAGCAGGTAAGAATGGACAGTCCCTTCAGGAGAACTTGATGAGGACTTTTGTGTGTTTTTCAGAGCAAGGAGCTCCAAAACACATAGAGGCACACCCACACTCACTGTGTGTTCCCCTGCCTGGGTGGAGATGCCATTTCTGTACCTCCATGGGGAAGGGGTCGTGCTCATCCATCCCACCGGATGGTAGTTATCCCATCAGCTGCCCAGTCCCTCAAAGGACTGTGCTTGTTGCAGAGACTCCCATCAGTAATCCCGGGAGGAAGTTGTGCTCTCTCAGGGGTAGAGCGCGTGCAGGGAATGCACCAGTGGTGGCTGCCCTCATCCTGTTCTGTCAGACAGCGCTGACTGCACGGGGGCTGCCAGGTTAAACGTGGGGAGCTGTTCTGCAGGGAGACACGTGTGCCATTGCGTGGGGCTGATGTGGCCAGTGAGTGCAGCTGAGCAGGATGGGGAGCAGTGCCTTTGTGGAGAAGGTGCCTGAGCTCAGGGGCCTGTTGAAGGGAACCCAGTCCCATTGCAGTACAGATTCAGCTGGGCCATGGACCGCCCATAGGCCGTGCAAGGCTTCCCTTACCTGGCCCACTCAACCCCACACCAATCCCCTCCTTATTGAATCCGAGGTGCTCCTGAACACACAGTGGTGCCCCAAGGGTTTCCTTCCACGCAACACTAAGTATGGCTACCATGTCTCTTCTTTTCCCTTCCTCAGATACCACATCTACGACAACTGAGAACAGTACTACCATCCCTACAGTAACAACAACAGAAGGTAAGGATGGGAAAGCCCACTGGCACACCCTTAGGAGGGTGTTACTTGGTTCCCGGCATTGCACAGAGAGAAGCTGTGGCAAAAGCTTGCTGAAGAATTGCAGGGGGTTACTGCTGTGGCTCCTTGGAGCAAGGCACTGCAGGGCTGCCCAGGGCTGGTCCACTGGGCCACGCTCAGCTCCACTCCATATCTAATCTGAGATTGTCCCGAAAGCAAAGTGGTTCCTCAAGACATTTCCCCTTACACCAGAAAGTATTGCTGCCATGTCTCTTTCCTTCTTCAGGAAACACATCTACAACAACTGACAACACTGCTGCCACCAATTCTTCATCATTACCACCAGGTAATTATGAAAAGTCCCTTCATCAGCCCATTAGGAGAGGGCTTTTTTCACTCAGTTCCAGGAGCTGCAGAGGCCACAGGCAGCACTGTGTCCCCCTGATCAGGGCACATGCCCTCGTCAGGAATAGATGGGAGATGATGTTGTGGATGTTTGGAGCATGGTCAGGGAAGGAGGTGGGGACTTGTCATTCCTGGTCAGACCCCAAGCCATCTGTTTTGTACGTCTGTGCAGATACAGACACAGATGCTGCCGTGCTGCTACTACCGAGTAGTGCAGAGCAGGCCATCATGGGGAGCACAATCACAGGCTGGTGGGTGTCCTTGCCAGCTCTGGCAGCTGGTGCTGGCCATGCAGAACATGATGCAGTTTGAAGGAGGAGAGTCTTTGCTTTGGGTAGATATGCATGTGCTGGTGACAGGGCCAGCTATGGCCAGTGAGTGCAGCTGAGCTTGAGGAAGTGCCATGGACTTCTGGGGAACATGCTCAAGACTGGACATTGGAGGGAAGTGAGAATGGGCGAGTAAGTCTGAAGAGATATCAGCGCTATGGACAACCTGTAGGCAGACTGCCATACCGTGACAGGCACGGCCACTCCGTTGCAGCCCATTGCCTGCTTGCGTACCCTGTGGTTCCCCAAGGCCTGTGTTCCATGCAATCCTCATTAGTGAGACTACGTCTCTTCTTTTCCCTTCATCAGATAGCTCATCCACAACAACTGTGCAAACTTCTACTACGTCTGAAACACTGCCAGCAGGTAAGAATGGACAGTCCCTTCAGGAGAACTTGATGAGGACTTTTGTGTGTTTTTCAGAGCAAGGAGCTCCAAAACACATAGAGGCACACCCACACTCACTGTGTGTTCCCCTGCCTGGGTGGAGATGCCATTTCTGTACCTCCATGGGGAAGGGGTCGTGCTCATCCATCCCACCGGATGGTAGTTATCCCATCAGCTGCCCAGTCCCTCAAAGGACTGTGCTTGTTGCAGAGACTCCCATCAGTAATCCCGGGAGGAAGTTGTGCTCTCTCAGGGGTAGAGCGCGTGCAGGGAATGCACCAGTGGTGGCTGCCCTCATCCTGTTCTGTCAGACAGCGCTGACTGCACGGGGGCTGCCAGGTTAAACGTGGGGAGCTGTTCTGCAGGGAGACACGTGTGCCATTGCGTGGGGCTGATGTGGCCAGTGAGTGCAGCTGAGCAGGATGGGGAGCAGTGCCTTTGTGGAGAAGGTGCCTGAGCTCAGGGGCCTGTTGAAGGGAACCCAGTCCCATTGCAGTACAGATTCAGCTGGGCCATGGACCGCCCATAGGCCGTGCAAGGCTTCCCTTACCTGGCCCACTCAACCCCACACCAATCCCCTCCTTATTGAATCCGAGGTGCTCCTGAACACACAGTGGTGCCCCAAGGGTTTCCTTCCACGCAACACTAAGTATGGCTACCATGTCTCTTCTTTTCCCTTCCTCAGATACCACATCTACGACAACTGAGAACAGTACTACCATCCCTACAGTAACAACAACAGAAGGTAAGGATGGGAAAGCCCACTGGCACACCCTTAGGAGGGTGTTACTTGGTTCCCGGCATTGCACAGAGAGAAGCTGTGGCAAAAGCTTGCTGAAGAATTGCAGGGGGTTACTGCTGTGGCTCCTTGGAGCAAGGCACTGCAGGGCTGCCCAGGGCTGGTCCACTGGGCCACGCTCAGCTCCACTCCATATCTAATCTGAGATTGTCCCGAAAGCAAAGTGGTTCCTCAAGACATTTCCCCTTACACCAGAAAGTATTGCTGCCATGTCTCTTTCCTTCTTCAGGAAACACATCTACAACAACTGACAACACTGCTGCCACCAATTCTTCATCATTACCACCAGGTAATTATGAAAAGTCCCTTCATCAGCCCATTAGGAGAGGGCTTTTTTCACTCAGTTCCAGGAGCTGCAGAGGCCACAGGCAGCACTGTGTCCCCCTGATCAGGGCACATGCCCTCGTCAGGAATAGATGGGAGATGATGTTGTGGATGTTTGGAGCACGGTCAGGGAAGGAGGTGGGGACTTGTCATTCCTGGTCAGACCCCAAGCCATCTGTTTTGTACGTCTGTGCAGATACAGACACAGATGCTGCCGTGCTGCTACTACCGAGTAGTGCAGAGCAGGCCATCATGGGGAGCACAATCACAGGCTGGTGGGTGTCCTTGCCAGCTCTGGCAGCTGGTGCTGGCCATGCAGAACATGATGCAGTTTGAAGGAGGAGAGTCTTTGCTTTGGGTAGATATGCATGTGCTGGTGACAGGGCCAGCTATGGCCAGTGAGTGCAGCTGAGCTTGAGGAAGTGCCATGGACTTCTGGGGAACATGCTCAAGACTGGACATTGGAGGGAAGTGAGAATGGGCGAGTAAGTCTGAAGAGATATCAGCGCTATGGACAACCTGTAGGCAGACTGCCATACCGTGACAGGCACGGCCACTCCGTTGCAGCCCATTGCCTGCTTGCGTACCCTGTGGTTCCCCAAGGCCTGTGTTCCATGCAATCCTCATTAGTGAGACTACGTCTCTTCTTTTCCCTTCATCAGATAGCTCATCCACAACAACTGTGCAAACTTCTACTGCGTCTGAAACACTGCCAACAGGTAAGGATGGACAGTCCCTTCAGGAGAACTTGATGAGGACTTTTGTGTGTTTTTCAGAGCAAGGAGCTCCAAAACACATAGAGGCACACCCACACTCACTGTGTGTTCCCCTGCCTGGGTGGAGATGCCATTTCTGTACCTCCATGGGGAAGGGGTCGTGCTCATCCATCCCACCGGATGGTAGTTATCCCATCAGCTGCCCAGTCCCTCAAAGGACTGTGCTTGTTGCAGAGACTCCCATCAGTAATCCCGGGAGGAAGTTGTGCTCTCTCAGGGGTAGAGCGCGTGCAGGGAATGCACCAGTGGTGGCTGCCCTCATCCTGTTCTGTCAGACAGCGCTGACTGCACGGGGGCTGCCAGGTTAAACGTGGGGAGCTGTTCTGCAGGGAGACACGTGTGCCATTGCGTGGGGCTGATGTGGCCAGTGAGTGCAGCTGAGCAGGATGGGGAGCAGTGCCTTTGTGGAGAAGGTGCCTGAGCTCAGGGGCCTGTTGAAGGGAACCCAGTCCCATTGCAGTACAGATTCAGCTGGGCCATGGACCGCCCATAGGCCGTGCAAGGCTTCCCTTACCTGGCCCACTCAACCCCACACCAATCCCCTCCTTATTGAATCCGAGGTGCTCCTGAACACACAGTGGTGCCCCAAGGGTTTCCTTCCACGCAACACTAAGTATGGCTACCATGTCTCTTCTTTTCCCTTCCTCAGATACCACATCTACGACAACTGAGAACAGTACTACCATCCCTACAGTAACAACAACAGAAGGTAAGGATGGGAAAGCCCACTGGCACACCCTTAGGAGGGTGTTACTTGGTTCCCGGCATTGCACAGAGAGAAGCTGTGGCAAAAGCTTGCTGAAGAATTGCAGGGGGTTACTGCTGTGGCTCCTTGGAGCAAGGCACTGCAGGGCTGCCCAGGGCTGGTCCACTGGGCCACGCTCAGCTCCACTCCATATCTAATCTGAGATTGTCCCGAAAGCAAAGTGGTTCCTCAAGACATTTCCCCTTACACCAGAAAGTATTGCTGCCATGTCTCTTTCCTTCTTCAGGAAACACATCTACAACAACTGACAACACTGCTGCCACCAATTCTTCATCATTACCACCAGGTAATTATGAAAAGTCCCTTCATCAGCCCATTAGGAGAGGGCTTTTTTCACTCAGTTCCAGGAGCTGCAGAGGCCACAGGCAGCACTGTGTCCCCCTGATCAGGGCACATGCCCTCGTCAGGAATAGATGGGAGATGATGTTGTGGATGTTTGGAGCACGGTCAGGGAAGGAGGTGGGGACTTGTCATTCCTGGTCAGACCCCAAGCCATCTGTTTTGTACGTCTGTGCAGATACAGACACAGATGCTGCCGTGCTGCTACTACCGAGTAGTGCAGAGCAGGCCATCATGGGGAGCACAATCACAGGCTGGTGGGTGTCCTTGCCAGCTCTGGCAGCTGGTGCTGGCCATGCAGAACATGATGCAATTTGAAGGAGGAGAGTCTTTGCTTTGGGTAGATATGCATGTGCTGGTGACAGGGCCAGCTATGGCCAGTGAGTGCAGCTGAGCTTGAGGAAGTGCCATGGACTTCTGGGGAACATGCTCAAGACTGGACATTGGAGGGAAGTGAGAATGGGCGAGTAAGTCTGAAGAGATATCAGCGCTATGGACAACCTGTAGGCAGACTGCCATACCATGACAGGCACGGCCACTCCGTTGCAGCCCATTGCCTGCTTGCGTACCCTGTGGTTCCCCAAGGCCTGTGTTCCATGCAATCCTCATTAGTGAGACTACGTCTCTTCTTTTCCCTTCATCAGATAGCTCATCCACAACAACTGTGCAAACTTCTACTGCGTCTGAAACACTGCCAACAGGTAAGGATGGACAGTCCCTTCAGGAGAACTTGATGAGGACTTTTGTGTGTTTTTCAGAGCATGGACCTGTCTTTTTTGTATGTACATGCAGATACAGATGTAGATGCTGCTGGCCTGCTCCTGTAGAGTACTGTAGAGCAGGCCATCACAGTGAGCTGGATGTCCTTGCCCGCTCTGTTAGCTGGTGCTGGCCATGCAGGACATGATGGTCATTGAAGGGGGAGAAGTGAGTGCAGCTGTGCAGAACGAAATGCTGTGGCTTTTTGGTGATGCTGCCTGAAATCAAGGATCTCTTGGAAGTGTTCCACAACTTCTTTCAGGGGAAAGAATGGCTGCCGCGTACTTCTGTCCTCCTTTTCTGCTTTGGCGTGATGTTGATAGTTACTGCATTTGAGCAGTGAGGAGTGTTGTTGCATTCACTGTCTTCAATGCATCCTTGTAGTTTCATTTATGATCCCACCTATACTGTTTAATGGACTGTGTCTGCTGACAATTCCTGTTTTGTACAAATTCTGACATCAAGATCTTTGATCTTTGTATCAGGGGAGTTATGCGGATCCAGTTCTTGTGGAGGAAAATTGTCTACGTGTGTCCCACTGTATAGCACGTATATATGCCAGTGCTCGTATGGATTCTACTACTACAGCAATGATTGTTATCCAGGTGAGTTGCAGAAAGGTAATCAGTATTTTTAGGTATTTTGCAGATAACTGCTTTGGTGAAATTTTCTTTCTGTGTGACTTTTTCTCATAACTGAAAACATAATCAGTCTGGGAAAGTAACTGCTTAATAATGCCTTACTTTGCAGACAGACACTGCTACAATGACCTAGATTGTTATCTCACAAACAAGTAACAGTCAAAGAGGTTAATGTGAAAGGAAAAGAAGCTGAGTTTCTGAGTGTCAGGCATTCTGGAGATCAAAATATGTGAAAAGTGGGAAAGAACTGAAAATGCAGTCCTGATATCAGTATTTATGGCCTAGATTTATAAAAGCCCAAGCTTCTGCAGACCTTCAAATAGCTGGCTTGATTTTTCCTCTTTCTAAACATCCATCAGAGTCCTGTTGAAATGCAACTGAGATGCTGTTGAAGTGCAAGCACATGAGCAAATGAAGCTTCTTATGTAAATGCCAGTGGGCAGGATTTCCAAATTTACTCGTGAGCCTAAAGAAGGAGATAGATACTGAATTGCTTTTTTGAATATGGTGAACCATGTTAGCTGCTTAGTGGTTGTGGCTGCAGATTTCAAGTCTTTAATGTGCATATCTGACTTGCTAAATGCCATAACACCTCAGAGTGTTTTGTTAGCTTTGGGCCATGCTTATAGTTTAATACTATTCAATTTCAAAGTCCTGCCAGTTTGGAATGGGTTGCCCAGAGAGATGGTAAAATCCTAAGGAGAAATCCAAATTATTGAATGTTTTCTAATAAATTGATATCCTATTTATTTATTTATTTATTTGTTTATTATTTGCAGGGAAGGTATTCCCAGGTATCGTTACACTGACACAAACGTTCAATAATGGTATTCCTGATGTAAATTCAATGGAGTATCAAAATATAGTCCAAAACATAACACAATTTGTAAGTGACTTTATTTTTTAAACTTTTCTGTGTATTTAATGTTTTTCTGAATGTGGTACAGACAGAGGGGATACAAGCAGCCTTTAATGTGGAGCCTAAGGTAGTTTTATACTTGATAAATCTACTTCTTTCAAAGAATATTTCACACTAGCTTAGGCTTATTCATGAAAGAGTTCAATTTTGCCCTCATACAACTCCAGGTATGGTTCTTGTTGAAGTGAAGGGGTGTACCTGAGGTCAAACAATTCCTGTGTTTTCAGTGCCACTTCTCTTTTGGGAAGCCCTCATAAATTGTTCTGTATCTTTAGCAATTCGCTCTCCAGAAACCACTGGGTGAAGTTAAGATTTCTAAACTGTTTAGTTTCTGTTATCTGCTGTTAAATACTTAAGTAATAATCCTTTCTATAAGAAAAACAGTATTAACATTTGAATTACATTAATGAAATGGATATGACACTTGTTGAGCATTCTCTGATTATAGGTAAGTTATTTTAAGGGTTTTCCCGGAGAAGTAGGATGAACTGTTTAACTCATACTGCTCTGTTGATTCGAGGTCGTTTTTTCAAATTAAGAAAGAAGTAGTGCGCACCTCTGCCAGGGAGCTGATGATATTCATTTATCTTTTATAGTTTCGAAACGCTTTTCAAAATATGACAGACTACAGGCAGACCATCATCGTGAAATTTAAGTAAGTCTATCACTTACAAAGTGTTTTTTCCACAGTATGTGAAGTTTGCTTTGTGTGCTTCCATTTATTTAGCTGCCAGTGGATTACTTTGTCAAAGAAAAGATACAGGTTGGACTGAGTGCTGTCTGACTGCCATTAAATGAGGTCATTCATTTGGTATTTTTAAAACTCCTACCCCACTTTTTACCCTATAGATTTCCAATAGGTGTGTGTAGTGGGCTGGCTGAGACAGTTCCATAGAGGATCTTCCATTTTTAACACTACATAGAATACAGCACTGTGCCAGTAACTGCACAGTTTGTCCCTGTGTTATCTGGCCCTTCTGAATTCATTGCAGACATACCATGATTTATCCTCCCCATGTTTCAGGATGAGTTCTCCAAGTCTATCCTGGATGACACCACAGGCTAATAAGACCATGCAAAACTGAGGATCTAGTGGATGAAGTCCTCCACACTTCAGATGCTTTGAGGCTAACCCGGTATAAAAACATTAGTTTCAGCCCAACAGCACAGAAAGGAGCTATGTCGTTAGCATTAAATTCAACAGCTTTTACTTACATGAGTCTCTTTTACATTTGGATGTAAAGGAGGATGGCCAGTAATGGATTCATGAGCAAGGATTGAACTCATTTTCTGGTGTCTTAGCAGCTACCCGCATTATGGGATGAGAGAAAGAAATCTGCTGTTGTCTTTAGGTGTAACTTGCTATCCATACATGCTGTCTGAGACTTTAAAATAATGCTTTCTGTACTTCTCAGTTATACAGAAGATGCAAACACCAGAAGTATTAATAATTCAGTGCATGTAACAGTGATGAATATCTTCAGAGAAGGCTCAACTGAGACCGAGACTAATGTTGAGAATGCAGTAACGGCAGCAGCAGGAAATTTGAGCTACGTGAGTGGGTACAAAAGTACGTAATTCCTCATTGTGGACGTAAGGTAGACACAGAGGTTCCTGTCTTAAAAATTGGTAACAACACTTCTGTATGCAGCAAAGCCCATCAGAGCGTAAGTTTCTTGATTTTAAGGAGCTCAGTGTCCAAACTTAAGTGATACTGTAGACTCAAACATCCAGTGATGGGCTTTTTAGTCTTACCAAAGCTTTCTACCCCCTCTGTGGGCATGTGGAGAAAATTAGTTATTCCTAAATAAGCAATTTCATGTTGACTGTAGTTTGCTGAGCATTAAGTTTCTGGAAAATAAAAACTGGACAAAATATTCACAGACATAGATTTTACTCCTTAGAATAAGCCAATGTTTTGTTGTTGGAACAGGATGAAAATTTCCTTAGACATTCTTCTGTAATTGGCTTTATTAATTGAACTGAGCCTTTACTGATTAGCTACTCAACTAGGTGATGTTAAAACAATATCTTTCACTACAAAGAAGTGTAGTACTTGGAGAACATTTTTGTAAATGCACAGTTTTTCTCATCTTCCTTTGTCTAACATGCTCCTATTTTAAAGTTGCCTTCACAAAAGGCATAGCTAATAATTAAATGAGTCCAGTTCATGGCTTCTAGCCAGAGTTTGGACTCCAAGGTGACTGTATCCACCTGAGCCACGACATTTCCTGTATCTCAAGCATGAGGGAGAATGAGGAGCTCCTGACAACACACAAGCTACCAGCACAAGCACATCCTTCCACTGTACACTGTATGCCCACTGATTTTTAATACACACAAGCACACACACACACATATATATATATATATTATTTTTTTTAAAGGCAAGTCAGAAAAGTATTGCTCCAAATATGAGCTTGTGGGTAGAATTTCTTTTCCTGGAGGATAGGGCAGGAAGTTGTAGCAGGCTGACAAACACTGTGTATGAAGATGTGATCTTCACTGAAGAGCAAGGGAAAGGAAAGGATTGTTCCAGGCGACTGCAGTATTGTCCCAGAAAGGGATTTGGAAAGTTTTTTCTTCAGAACTGCTAAAAAATTGGCTGATGATTTACTGAGCGAGTTCACTGCTTTTTATGAAAGTGCCCAGGTTGCTTCCTGACTGCTTCTCTTTTAAAGCTGCATCCCCGTGTGCTGTTTATCCGTGTGATGACACAACCACAACATGTGAGGATGGTACATATCCAGCATGTGTATGTAAACCAAATTTCACAAAGACAGCGTGGGACACATATTCTTGTTCAGGTAAATGCTGCGTTACTTTATCTATCCATGAAAATCTGACCTGGTCATCTTCTGTCTTTGTCTTTCTGAACTCTCAAATGCACTGAGCTCTAAAAATCAGGGGATGTGTGTCTTATTAAGCAAACTTTAAAAACACATGCTCACATTTCATTTGGAACACATCCATAATTCTTTTCCAACAGAGCAAATCACTAAAGCTTAAGAAAATTATCACCAGAATTAGTGAGTGGATAACTATATATATTCATCATTAATGATAAGAATTTACATCTAAATGAAGAAAGAGTGGAATAAACTGAAGCTTATGTTCTCAGCCTTCTCTAGTAGGATATACTTTGGAAAAAAAGCTACCTGAGGATGCTGACAGAAGTGGAAATCTAATGCTTCACTGTAGTGATCTGTTACTGTTCTGTCCCTCATTGGTTCTAGGAGTGCCTTACCTTTGCTTAGGCAGATTTTTGCAGAATGATTATTTTAGGAACTGCAAATTGTTGAGTTTTTATTTGATTGCTGGTTTTGAATTTTTAAAGAGTACTATGTTTATATTTTGGCAATCCTCTACACACTGAGATGTGCTCTTATTTTCTTGTTAAAAAATTAAAACTATTCACACTTCAGGTATGATGTTTTAAGAAAAAAACCTGTTGCAAACACTCAGGATAAAATCATAAAATCTGGCTACAATAAAGACCAGAGGAATGCTGTGTGGTGTGGGTCTTTGGCTCCTAACTTGTCTACTTGTGATCCATTTAGATCATTTGCTGTATAGATCATGCGCTGTGATGTCAGCCTGCAGGATTATTGGATTGCCAGTATGAGATGCAACCCAGCGAGATTCCAGTTCTGAACTATGAACCTGGATGTTTTGAGCAAGGGCTATTTACTTCTAATTTTGTGCTTTAATATTTCAGATTCTGCTCTACATACGTATAACCCTAAAAAGGCTGTACTGGTGCATTGATACACAACAAAGTTGTGCGTGCATTTACCTTGAGGAAAAAGAGAAGGGAAAAAGAGGAGAGGGGTGTGTCTGGAACTCACCCCAGATTTTATCTATGAGGAAAAAATAGAAATGCTTCCAAGATGTGCTCAAGGTTGATTTTTGCAGGGCTATATTCAATTCACTCTGTGTTTTTCCTTCTGATAATACAGATTGCGCGAACTGTACAGAAGAAGAAAACATGTTCTGTGACAGACAAGGTGGCATTCCAGACTGCAAATGCATGAATAACTTTAAAAAAGAGGGTGAAAAATGTGTAAGGTAAGTATTCAGTTTTTCCCTCATTTTCCTGTGTTCTTGGTAAAGATAGAGAAGAAGAACAGCTAAAACAGGGTTACCCTCAATCTAGAAGATCAACCTGCAGCTGAGGTGATTAACAGGTGGGCAGATCCCCACAGTATCACAGGTTATGGTGATTTGTTGGCATGCACCTTTAATACCATAGAGCAAAGCCAAGGAGGACCTCTCATTTTGTGGGATACCCCATAAATATACACTATTCCTTCTGAAGCAACTGAGCCACAGGAACTGCTATTCTGAAGCATACTGAAAGCAATAAGCAATAGTGCAAGAATTGCCTTAAATCCCTGGAAAATTTCCTCTGGTACCAGTGGGGATTCTGCTCCCTGCTAAGTTTCAGGCCTATGTGATTTTGTCTTGTTTTTCTTCCTGTGGGTATTGCTGGCAGCTCAGGATCAGAACAGAGCAGTGTTGTTTGCTGGTGAAGCTGAGTAGGTCTAGGTCACCAGGTGGGCTCTGCTCCCATGGATAGGCAGTGGCACCTCATTCCCCAGGTCTGTTAATTCGGCACATTTTGCTGAAGTCCAGCTGCCAGTCCTGTACTTTTCACTGTGTGTTGCAGTTCCAAGTGGCATAGAAATGCAGGGCTTTGTTCCTTGGAGAAATTAGTCCCTCTTAACACTTTCCCGGGCTGAGAACCTGAAACTTTGAGTGTGCATCTCACTAATCATTCAGAAAAATCTCAGATTGTTTTCCTCTAAAAACGAAACAATTTGATATTAAGATAGAATCAAAGAAGAAACCTGTGATGGCTGCACCTTGCTGAAATTTCTGATAACGTGTGAAAATACACTATTCTTTTGTGATCCTCTGCTGAACGACATTATGTTCTTTTTTTTTTTTTTTACCTCTCACGTAGGTGTCCAGTGGGCTACTCTGGAGAAGACTGTCAGAATAGTAAGTACAGCATGGAAAAATAACAAGTAATGTTTAACCTGCCCGAGATAACAAAAATGACAAGTAGCAGCCTTGAAAAAGATTAGTAAAATTCTACTGTTGCTTGGAAGGATAATTCCTTGAATTTCATGTTCAGACAGACAGTAGCATTTTCTCTAATGGGATCCGCATTAAGCCCAATAGCTTTCAGAAAAACACAGGATATTTGCAAAGCTGGTTCTTGTTAGTGCTTTAGCTTGCAATCACTGTGTAGTATCTAGTATCCTATGCTGGTAAGATGGCCCCATATGTGTCATCAGAAATGGGACAAGCAAACCAGACTGGACTTCCAAAGCTTTTTCCATTTACTGAGTCTGTTTTACAGCTGTTCTCTGCACCTTCCATAGACTCTCTGTTGTATAAATCGGGGCATCTTTCATCCCAGCTAGTAATTACAGGTGCCTAATCTCAGAGCGTCTATCACAGTCAAATGCAGATGGAAAAACAAGCGTTTGTGGTTCTTTGCTTCCACAATGACTTGGTGTTGTTTAACCAGAAAGTATATCCTTGTGCTGCCTCTTGGCAGATTCTTACACTGGTGCATCCTTAAACTAGTAAATGTTTAACATCCTTGTCTTTGCAGGTACAAGATCTTCAAGTCTTTGTTTTATGCCTAAAAATGTTGTAAACTGGCTAATGGTATAGTACTGCACAGAGTAACTCACCAGGTGTAAATTTTTGACAGGAAGGATATTGTAATCCCATGGAACGTGTTTTCTGACAAAGCTTTGGAAATCTTCATGCCTTTTTTGTAAAGCAGATTAAAATACCAAATATGTAGAAAATCAGCACACACATTGGGAATTCAAACACAGATTTAAGACTCTTTAGTAATAAATTCCATGAATAACCCAGACTTCCTCATGTGGCACTTGGTGTGCACTAATGTTTGCTGAGCATTAATCAAGGATATGTTACACCTGTGTCTGGCACAACATTCTTTGGAGAAACCATGCTCCCTATTGTCTTCTTGTATGCCCCCACTGTGATTGAATGTGTCAGATTGCTCTGCTGGTCATGGCACAGTTGTTGGTTTAATGTGCATCTGCTGCACACGTGCATTCTTTGTCCACATCAACAGCTGTACTAAGGCAGCATCAGGAATCTTGGAATGAACTGCATCTTTTTTTTCATTCTTTAATTGCAAAGGGAGAGAAACAGGATTTGGTCTTCAGTATTTGCCACGAGTTCTCAATTGTTTTTTCTTTGTTTTTTTTTTTTCAGATAAAGAACTCATCCTTATAATAGTGGGCACAGTGTTTGGAGTCATTATCTTGTGTTTAGTGGCAGCAGTCTCAATTGTTTCAGTAAGGTAAGAGTATTTCTGACAACTGAATGAAAGCTCCATTGCTGCATGTTCCTAGAGAACAAAGGAGAAAATTAGAAAGAGTCAGGGTTGCAAATGTGGTTGCATGCCTAGCTGGGCAGACAAGTTCATCTAAGTCATGCAACCAATAGGATATACTTTCATCCATGTACACTCCCCAGAATTATTTGTTATTTTTCTGTGAATCAAACCACACAAGCTTCAGCAACTTTCCTGCCTTTCTTCTCATTGCTTTCCAGATAAGGATTCCCAGAAGGCCTCATAGCCTTGTGGCATAGGTCACTCATAGGGGAGGCATAGGTCACCAGCAAGTGCATAAGCTGGTGCTGAGCTCATGTGTGAGGTATGGGCTTGTGATTACAGGCAATTCAAATTCATAATTTGAGCTTGAAGCTTCAGCTGCAGGCAGGTTTTTCTAAACTAGGTATAAAGGATGTCTTATTTCCTCCTCTCAACAGTCAATTAGGGCTAGTGGTGATCAAGGAGCCTCCATCAATCAGACGGAAGAGATCAACATTCTCTGTCTCTTTTTGCAGCTTATCCCCATCTGTGATAAGAGATGCCAAACTTTGCACTCTGTCACTGACAACTAGGTGTTTTACAATATGTATGATAGAAAAATCCAGGGCATGTTTGAGAACAGGACTGGGCATTCAAAACAAGATGGAGAGGGCAACTGAATAGGTAAAGATTCCTTTCTTCTTCTATTTCCCCTTGAAGAGCCAAGCACAGTCATGATCCGGAGAAAAAGAGGTTGATAAAGCCAAGAAATTCCAACTCAAATATCTCTGAGGAGACAAGGATATTCCCCAGGGTCCAGACCACTTCTGGCCATGCAAACCCAGGATATCAGCCAAACAACCCTTACGAGGTGGATTCCTCAAACAGAGGTGTCTTTGTGGAGAAAAATTACGATGACTTGGTAAGTGTTGCACACAGGCATACAGGAACTGTGTTCCTGGACTGCAATGCTGTGGGCTACTGGTGTTGCCAAAACCAAAGCTCCACTCTTGTCCATCCTCTCTATTATAAAGATAGCACACATCTCATTAATACTTTTTTAAAATCCTAGAGGTCATTCTTGAATCATGGGAGGCACATGTGAAAGCAAAGGTTAAAACAGTCTGGCTGCTCACAGATTTGCTGTGTCATAGGACCACAATAGAAGCAACATAGAAACCTGATATTCACAGAATCACAGAATGGCCAGGGTTGATAGGGACCTCGTGATCATGAATCTCCACCCCCTGCCGCATGCAGGGCCATCAACCTCCACATTTGATACCAGATCAGGCTGCCCAGGGCCCCATCCAATCTGGCCTTAACACCTCTAAGGATGGGGCATCCACAGCCTCTCTGGGCAGCCTGTTCCAGTACTCTCTCTGTAAAGAAGTTAAAAGAGTTTAAATATTTAAAAGAGAGCTTTTAAAAAGCTACCAGTGGGGGAAAAAAAAAAAAAATAAAAAAAAATTAGCATATATGTAGTTATTTAATTGATCAGATTCACATCCATTTGGGCTTTTCCAGCTTCCCAAAGATATCAGATTTTCACTGATGAAAGTCTGTCTGTAAAATACATTTGGTTTTCCACGAGGGATTAGAGAGAGGGTCACCATATGCTGTGTGATGCTTTCTGAACTATTATGAGAAAGGAGCTTTCTGACCAACAACCTCTTTTTTTCTCTAGTACGAAATATCGCGGCGGCCTGAGGACTTTCAGATGCAGCGCAGATAACTGAGTGGCCAGTAGTAGAAGGGTGGACGACAACCACAGCACTGGGTCAGACCAAAGAGCTTCACAGCCTCTTACCAGCACAGTTATTTCATCAGCAGAGACAACGGAGTCCATAGTACAGGATTCTGAAGATTTTCTAAAAGAAGATTCCTACTTGAAGAGATGGGCAGTAACTCTTTGAAATAAGGGACAATAAAAATAAAGCAGAGTGTAGGGAGAAGGAGACTTTTAAAAAGCTAAAATGGTCCTGTGGCCATTCCTATGAACTTTCAATGGACTAGAGCATTGGCAAATAAGTGAATGTAGACAAGATACCAGGATTTTAACCCAGCTGTGTTTCAGTTCTTCTGAAAGATGGTCCATGCAATGTGTGTGATGCTGGAAATGCCAGCTGCCAGAGCTTTGCCTACATTTGTGCTCACTTGCTTCAGGCAGAGGCGTATCAAACAGTATCGAAACTTTTGTAAGAACCTAACATTGTTGTCTTTACTGTATCAGTCTTTCTCCCTTCCTCAGCCCCCCCATTATTTTCTATCTGAAAGCATTCAGTTCATATCTCTGCTGGCACCTGTTGTGAGAGACAACCATGTCTGACCTCTTGGGGGCCTTCCTTCCCAATACAACTCCAGAAACTATTATCTTCAAACCAGCACTGATGTTCTCCACTTCATGCAAATACGTTGATTTTACATTCTCAGCTACTGTGGAAAGAATTGGCACCTTTTTTTTCCTCTTTTAATCTGTAAGATTAAATGGAATCATCTTAAATCTTTCTTTTTCATTATTTCATAATTCTGTTAAAAAATCATGGAGACCTAAAAAGCATTTCATGGAGAATACATGTGCATCATCTTTTGACTGGTGCTGGCACTTCTTTATACATATATATATATATAGAATATAATGTCCAAAAATGTACATATATTTATAGATTATATTCATTTAAATCATCATTTAATCTCATGTTTTATGGTTGTTGTTGGTTTTTTGTTGTTTTTTTCATATATGCCGGTTAATATTTCCTATTAAATATTATCATTCCTCAGTATGAAGGCTTTCTTACATTGCTGCCCAGCAGTGTTATTTGCAAGTTCAAAGACTATTTTAGGCTGAAAGCTGTGCAAGTTACAACTTTACAAGCAGCCTGGTGAGAAAGGGGCAGGTTTCTCTGTGTTGCTTTTCTGGGTTTTCACAGTTAACTGGCAGAGCTGCTCTCTTCTAGATGTTGTTGCCATCTTTGCCTGCAGGAGACAGGTTCTGGTGGCCTGGGCCTCTCTGCACTGGCTGTGCGCATCTCAGTGTGCACAATGTGGCTTTTCCTCTGCGCAAGCAGAGCTCACAGGATTTAGCTATTTTTGACATGTTATTCAAAGGACGGTAGAAATTTGATCTTATTTTTTTTAAACTTTTCTTCTGAGTATGCTTTTTTCCTGATTTTTCGTGGGGGCTTCGAGGGGGTGAGGTACTGATGAACAGATGTGATGCAGAGACAGCAAATGGCAAGCAATCATTAAGGTCAGCATGGGCTTCGCTTTGTTCAGCCAATTTCTTTTGCTTGGATGTCTCCTCCTTGTCCTTGGTGATTTAACAAACAGATTTGTTTGCATCAGAAGTAACAGTTCATGTACCTTGGGACATCACTGGGACAAAATTCCTATTTCCACAGCTTAGTGCTTAGAGGATCCCTTAAAACACCTGTGACAGGAGCCTGCTGGTCTACATGAGGAGGTTTTAGTGTTCTCTCTTACCCTGTTGGGAGGCAAAGCTCAACAATAACCACAACCCAATGCTGTAAAACTTTAATGAGGGTAAGATATGTAGAAATTCAGTGCCACTGATAGTAGAAGTGGCAAAATAGTCAGGTGTTTGCGTCACTTAACTTCTGAGGAGTTATCATTGCTCCTGTTCAAAGCTGGTTTCTGCAGCTCGGCCAGTTCCAATAGCTTGTGCTAGGGAGGGGCCTCAGATACTGGAATGGACTTCATTGCTCTTTAACATTTCAAAGGCTGAGAGAGCTACTTTGTCAGCACTAAAATTCTGTACTGAAACTGCAAACTCTCAGATACTTCACTTCTTCTCTTTGAATTGTGTAATTCTGCTGTGAAATATGAACATGGAAAATGGCCCTTAGGGGTGTTTTGGGACTCCTACCTATTACATGCATTTTTCTGTCTGCATGTCCTCCAAATCCAGATGGGTACTGGAGAAACTCTCACCCTACAGCTTGAGAGGAGTTGTGCTGCAAGCAGGGCAAAGCCTCCAGGGAGGTCCTGGCCTTTCCCACCCTCCTGCTCTTCTGTGACATGGGGTGTTCTGTTGTGTCCCCTAGTCTGCCACCTGCTTTTGTCCTAGACTGAGAGTGACACTGGAGAAATTTATTGGCATATCTGCAAAGGGAATGCTAAATAGAGGAGTCAGGGACTGTAGGCTTGTATGGATGTATTGGGTCTCTTAGGTCATGTGTTATGCTGACTCTATTTGGAGACACTTGGGTACAGTTAGGGGATGCAGGATAGTCAGATAGAGGCGCCGTGTTGTGGATGGCTGTGGTCTGAGAGCCTGGACCTGAACAGCTGCCTTACAGGAGGATGGGATGTGATAGGACGGGGGTAGTGATGGGTTGAACTGATTGAGGCTGCAACCAGCCTTGAAAATGAGTCATAAGAACCTGTGTCCAAGCACTCCCTAGCACCCTGACTTTCACTTTAGGACAAAAGATGATGGCCTTATGTTGCAATAGGAGAGGTCCCGTTTGGATTTTAGGAAAGATTTCTTTTCAGAAAGAGTTGTGAGGCACTGGCACAGACTGCACAGGGAGAGGGTGAAGTCACCATCTCTGGAGGTGTTCAAGAACTGTGGAGAAGTGGCACTCAGGGATGTGGATGGGGATGACTGTATGTGAAAAGTAGTTCCTTTCAGACCTGGGAGCAGGAAGCACTTTGCATTTTTCTAACCTTCTGCTGGTGAAAAAGCACCTTGTTTACTTTATGAGGCTGGTTTTACACCGATACTGCATGTGATGATCCAGGCTGCTGTCACTAGCTGGTTAGGGTGAGCAATAAAGATAAGACGTTTCCCCAGAGCCTTGATTTTCACTCCTCTACTTTCTTTGACCTCAGCTGCTCATTGTTTTGTGGATGAACTCTAGCACTCTTTCCACCTGAAGGAACAACAGACATTTTTTCAGCCTTTATTTCCCGTTATTTGTGACCTATGTGCCTTGTGGCCTTCCTTGTTAGACTACTGCTTTTAGGGCCTGGTTTAGGTTGTTGTTGATTTTTTTTTTTTTTTTTTAACTAATTTCTGCACAAGTCTGTATGTTCAGCTTTTGCTCCCCAATCCTGGATTAAGTCAATTAATTTCTCTTGGGCCCCTGGGCAAAGCTGCTCCATTTGCAAGCACTGGACACAAGGCTGAAAAAAGAATTCATTAAGTGCCTTGTGAAGGATGCTCCAACTGCTGGTAAAATACTGCTCTGGAGAAAGGTTTTGCATCAGGGGGAGGTGGGCATGGAACAGCTCCCCAGAGCAGTGGGTATGGCCCAAACTGCTGGTGTTCAAAGAGCATCTGGACGCCACTCTCAGACACAGGATTTGAATTTTGGGTGGTCCTGCATGGAGCCAGGAGTTGGGCTTGATATTCTTTATAGGTCCCTTCCAACTTGGGATATTCCATGGTTCTGTTTTTGCTGCTAGAGATGCTGGGAGCTTCCCACATCCCCCATAGTCTTTGCAGTGGGTTTGCTGGATGAGCCGGCTCAGCAGGAAGTAATGAAGGGAATGAAGGGAAGAGACAGTAGGAGTAAAGGAAAGTCACTGGAGTAAATAAGTAACGAGAGAAATAAGATCAAACAGACATTGTGGCTGTTAATAAATGACCCATACCCAGTGTCATGGTCTCGAGGGATGCAAAGGAAGGGTGTGGCCAGCAGCATGGGGATATTGCACACAATACTGAGCCATTGGTGATAGGTTCTGACAGCACTGACATGGACAGCAGCCAAACAGCTTCCAGAAGGAGTGCTCAGAGCTACAGGAGATCCGAGCAAAGTAGGCAGAAAAAAAAAAAAAACAAAAAAAAAAAACCAACAAAAGAGGAGCAAGTCCCCAGGCTCTGGGCACTGTCTCCATGGCACCCACTCAATGCTGCAGGGATTTGCCAGGAAAAAAAGAGACTTTTCTCCACTCTCTGTCCAAAAGGACAAGAGGTGATGGCCTTCAGTTGTGCCAGGGGAGGTTCAGGTTGCATATTAGGAAAAACTTCTTCTCAGAAAGAATGGTGATGCAGTGGTAAAGGTGCCCTGGCGGGGGATGGGGTAGGAACCTTTCCTGGAGGTGTTCAAGAGCCATGTAGATGTGGCACTGAGGGATGTGGTCTGAGTAGGAGCAGGCATGAGCTGATGGTTGGACTGGATGATCAAATTGGTCTTTTCAACCTTAATGATCCTATGCTCTTATGATCTGAACCTTTAATATCTGTTGACACCTGGAAGGACATTTATCTCAGCAGGTTTCTCTATCTGGCCATTGCTTGAGAAACGTGCTCTGCCTCCCTGTCCCCCAGGCTCTTGCTGGGTGTCACTGCCACCTGCCTTGTGCCCTCTGACACCACCTGGTTAAACATTAGCGAACTTCAGCCTATGCTTTAGTCATGCATAAAGAGGTGTAGGTGGGAGAAAAAAAGTCTGCTGCATAAGCAAGACTTTGGAATAAAGACTTTCTCCAAAATCTGCAGTCTACAGAGGCCCTTTTTCAGGCCTGATTAACCAAACTAGGGATATACTTTAACAGGCAGGCAGGGCAGCAGGGAAGGACAAGCCTCCAGGCTGTTGCTTTGCTCACTCTGCAGCTTGGAGTCCTTGCCACAAGATGGTGCTGGCTCTTCACAGTTACAGGAAAGGCCACAGAAATGCAAAACCTTTTAATCAGCTGTGTCAGCTGGGGCTAGCCATTAGCAGGCACAGCATGCTGCTGATTTTAACCCTCTCCTGCACCCCAGCCTTGGGGACCTCGATGCCCATTCCATTAATGAGCTCCTTAACCTCAGGGATGGGGACATATTTCAGGGTGGCCACAGAGACCTTTATCAACTGTCAGATCAGTACTTCAGTAACCCCTCCATAAAAAGCTATTCAGGCAGCCAGATGCCCCCCAGCCTGCCCATCTTCCCCACACTGCACCTAGATGTGCAGTATTACATCAAAAGTTGGATCCACTGGCACTGTTTGAAGGACTGACATTGATGACTTGGCTCTTCTCGGGGCATCTTGCTCTTTTAAGGGGGTGAGAATGATCTCCTCCATATACCTCCCTCATTTCCCAGCCCATCAGCTCCAGGCTTGCCCATGGAAAGTAATAATGTGAAGATACAAGGTTCCCCAGTTGAGCTATCCCATGGGGAAGGGACACCTGTGTCCAGAATTTATTGTGCTCCTAGGTGGCAGAAGACTGACAGGTGGGAGGTGAAGCACTCAGTTAATCATCCAGCAACTAAAGGAGAGGCTTGCTTGTTGGCTGCCCCAGATATACCAAGAATGCCAAAATATGGTTTAGATAAGGAGTTAAGAGAAGGAAAACAGGCATTGAAGTGATTGCAGCTCAAGCACCAGCTGGCAGCCCTCACTTGTTGCAATGTAATCACATGGTGCACACTTCGTGAGATACCCACTGAGGGATGGTTTGAGGCACAGAGATTTATTCTGAACCCTTTTTTGTTTGTTTGTTTGTTTGTTTTTGTTTGTTTGTTTTTTATTATTTATATGCAAGAGAGGGACAAAACTCGAAAACGAGTTTTCAGGTGCACTCCTCTGCTGCCCTGCATTTCTGCAATGTTTCCTCTCAGCAGCAGGGAGTGCTGGTGTTGCACTTCAGTAGCAAAACACTGACGCTGGTCCTCAGATGGTAAATGCATATATATTTAAAGGAAGTAACAGCATGAGCAGCATCATTAGCTGTAGAACACGCTGTTTAAGAAAGAACAAAATTCATGATGGTTTTTTTGTTGCTGTTTTTGGTTTTTTGCACGTGATTTTTGCCTATTGCTGCCATCTGACATGGATGTTGTATGAATTGGAATTTGTTGTAGATTCCATGCAAAAAGCAGGAGACAAACCATTACATCGCTGCAGGGAAGCCCTGTTGGGAAGGCAAAGCCCACTGTGTTTGTCTGCACTCCCACCTCCATAGCATGATCAGGTCCTACCTATGGGGACCACCATTCTACTTGGAGAGGTGAAAAAAGAGGGGTCAGCTATGGGAAACCTACAGTGTCTTCAATGATATGGGGTTATCTAGACATGAATCAGATGCTTTTATCCACCCTTCCTGCCACATAAGGGACATATGACAATGAAAACATATCTTTAATACACCCAAAGTATCGTCTATAAACCACTTTGTTTTGCCTGATAACAGAAGAACTGGCTTGTAATTATCTCACTTGTAAGATACACTGGATTGCATCCTACTTGCACCACACTTTAAAATGCAAGCGATAAGAAAGCAAGTACAAAGATCAGGGCTTTCTAACCAGCTGTTTCCTGTCTCCCATCCAGCAGAACTGGGCGATGATACAAACCAAGCTCATGGGACTCCATGGCCCCTAAATTCTTGAAGGAAGTAGAGAGGTCTCAGTCCCCTGGATTGAGTATAATCCCTCAATTGAATTGGCACGTTGTAGGCAGGGGAGAAAAGATATGGGCTGTGTCTGAAGATCAAAGCTGATGAAGCCCTTCTTCAGGCTCCCACCCCAGAATTGTAGAATCTCAGAATGATGTGGGTTGGAAGGGACCTCAAAGACCATTTAGTTCCAACCCCCTGCTGCAGGACAAGGTTGCCAACCACCAGAGAAGGCACTAGATCAGGTTGCCCAGGGCCCCATCCAACCTGGCCTTCTTTGTATGATGCCTTTGTTGTTGATAACCTTGTTAATATACCAAGTCTGTTTTCTTGGAAACCCAACAGGAAGATGAAGGCCTCACATGGTTTTGCTCACAGAGGCCCTTCAGAGCAGCTACAATACTTCTTGCTCTGCATATGAGGGTGGAAGTGCAGTGCTGGCTTTGGAGAAGGGTATCAAGGTAGGCAAGGGATGAGGGACCCTCACTCTTCAGAATGAGATGAGTGCAGCTCTCTCATACTGTCCATATATGTTCGCAACCATGTGCACTTGTGTGTGGTTACAGAAAGGTTGTCTTCTATTCAGGGATGGAGGATATGCTGTGGGAAATGCTGTTCTGTGTACATCAGAAGAATGCTGCAGCCATGCCAGGTTGTTACTGCCCCAGGACGGCTTTGGTGAAATCCAAACCTGCTGTGGCACAGCAGTCTGGAGATGCTGAAGAAACCAGCAGTGCATATGAAGTCATGGGGACTGAGGATGTGTGTCAATCAAACCTAAAGGTAAGATCCAGTAGATACACTGTTCAATTGGCATGAAGGTCTGCAGGCCACTGGTAGTAGCTGTTGCTATTAACTACCTTTGGAATCAGCCATCGGCTTGACAGCTGATTTATGATTTGTTTTAAAAGCAGGAGCAGAGCCTGCCAGCAGTCCAAACACTGCCATAAATCCTCCGTTCCCCTTAGATCTGAAGCGTCGATGTCCCATCGAGCTGGGGACAGACCCAGAGCTGGAGGGCGGGCATAGCCCGGCTCACAGCCCTTCGCCAGATGGACGCTGTTTGTGTGGCAAAAGTCGCTGAAGCAGGATAATGCCACGTAACAGGGGGCAGTGAACTGGAGGGAATGCGTGCCAGCCCGGCAGCAAGCAGGCGCGGAGATCGGTGTGCCCGTGCTGCAGATGCTTGTGTGCATATATGTGTGTGCACGTGGCTGTGTCCGGGTGTGACAGTGTGCATCACAGAATGACTTGAGTTAGCAGGGACCTTAAAGACCATCTGGTTCCAGCTGTGCACAGAGCTGCCACCCACTACATGCCTGTGCCTCTGCGTGTGTGCATGCGTCTCTGCGAGCTCCACACGGAGGTGTGCGTGCATCAACCCGAGCGTACATGCACGCGTGTATACATTTGCACGTGGATGCCTGCACGTGCATGCGCGACACGCGCACGTGTGCACGCACATGCGAGCACGCACGTACACATTTACACCAGCGCGGCCCCTTGCACAACCACGCACACGAGCCCGTGCGATCCCCCGCCGCCCCGCTCCGCTCCCCAGCTCCGGGCTCCGCCTCCCCGCTCCGTACCCCGGCCCGAGCGCGGCCGAGCGACGGCACCAGCGGCGGGCGGACCCCGGCCGCTCCCCGTCACCCGCCCCGGGCAGTCCCAGCGCCGCCCCCGCCGCCTCCTCCTCCTCCTCCTCCTCCTCCTCCTCCTCCTCCTCCTCCTCCTCCTCCTCCTCCTCCACCGCCGCCGCCGCCGCTGCTGCGGCCGCACAAAAGGCGGCGGGGAGGGAGGGAGGCCCGGCGGGAAGGGCAGCCTCGGCCGCCCGCACCATGCCCCGCCGAGGGGGGCTGCCGGCCCCCGCCGCCGCCCGCCGGCCCCCCCCGCTCCTCCGCCTCCTCCTCCGCCTCCTCCTCCTGGCCGCCCCGCTGCAGCCCGGCAGAGGTAAGGGCCCCCGAGCCGCCGCATCGCGTTGCGACACGGAGTTAACTTTCTTTTGCTCTGCTCTGCGTTCCCCTCCTCTGGCCGGCTTCATCAACCCCGCTTCCATGTCTGCCCGGTGCGTGCCACTGAGGCTGGGCTGTGCCCGCGTCCCTGTGCGGCGATCTCCGTGAGAGCCCCTCCCGGTGCTTCTGCTGGCGCCGGTCCTCCGTGGGGTCCCGAGCTCCTCGAGTCCCGTTGTGCCGCTGGAATCGCATCGGGGCACCGCAGAACGGGTTGTGTTGAACCTGATCCCGTCCAACCTGGCAGTGGGCACCTCCAGGGTTGGGGTATCCTCAGCATAACTAAAACGATTCTTTTCTCTTACATAGCTGGGTGAAGCATAGAGCGTATCGCTTTTCTCCTCCCCAGCAAGCCACTGCATTCATCCCGCAGTTTGAGGAGCTGCCCGGACGGGGTTTTCTTGCAAAACAGGTTTAAAATGCGGTCTGATTGCCCGGAGCATCTTCATGAGTAAAACCGGTGTACCTTTCGTGAGGGATTCCCATCTTGCTCTGCATCATTGGTGTCATTATTAAAATCTAAGCCCGCTGAGATGTGCTGCCTTCCCCTGCTCACTGGGGCCCCTGTGGCTCTGTCCGAGGGCAGGATGGGCCCAGAGGTGCTGTCTGAACCTTCTCACAATGCAGTTGGTGTTTAGGAGCTGTGGCATTAGGGCAGATGTGTATATGGAGTGCAGCTTGGCAGTATAGGGGGTGGATTATCATCCTCCAGAGTAATCCCAGTTAAATCTTGGGTGGAATTTTTTGCACTACGTCAAGTTTAGTGGAAAGGAGTGGTTTTGTTAATTGGGTGGAGGGGGCTGAGTTTCTTCACAGAATCACAGAATTGTAGGGGTTGGAAGGGACCTCCAGAGATCATCGAGTCCAACTCCCAGTCTCCTTGCCCAGTGGATGAGCACAGGCATCCTCAGCTCCTTCCTTTGCCTGGTTCCAGCATGTGATCCAGCATGAAAATCTGCACCAAACTGGGCACTGCTCTGAACTGAGCGCAGCAAAGATCATCACTGGAAAGCGTTGCATCTTTATGCTCCAGCTCAGAAAGCTCAGCTTGCACTCCCAGTACAGCAGCTTAATAAAGCTGAATTTTCAATAACAGTGCTGGAGATGTTTTGGTTTTGCTCCGAAGTGGGGAAGAGAACCCCAATAAATGCCCCTGGGAGGAATGTCCCATGGAGAGCTGTGCCACTGTCAGCCTTTGGCTGTGGCACCCAATGGACCGGAGAAGACCTCGGTTTTCATTCAGATTCCACTGTGGCCAAGTAAACATTCTGAAATCCATCAGTCAGGAACAGAGGTAAATGCTGTCCTATTTTCAGGTGAATGGGCAGGGAAACCTGCTGGGTAGCTGGAGTGCAACGATTTCCTTCAGAGAGGGGATTTGGAAAGGCTTTGGTCTGTGCTGGAAGCCATTGCAGCTGTAGGGCTCGGAAGTGTGAGTGTTAATCTCCCTGCATGCTACAGCTGCTGAATAAGCTACGTTTTGCTTTCTGTTACATCTTTATACTTAGAACCCTCACAGTGCCCAGGAGCTGAAACACAACTCTATGTGAACAAGGAATGAGACGCATGGGTATGTGCTAATGGTCAGCAAGAAAAAAATTAATAAGCCCCTTGTTCAACCCACAGGAAAGCCAGCAGTCTGCCTGAATGAAAGCCATACAGCCAGCACAGCTCCGCAGCCCGCGCTGGGCTGAACCACCTGGCAGGGCATAGCCAGCCTCAGTGCAGGGCTGGGTCATGCCATAGGGCTGGCTTTGGAGCAGGGACAGCAATGCTTGTCCTTCTGCTCCATGCTTGGGCAGGTCCTTGCCCCAGGACAAAAACCTGCGTGGTTCTGCAGCCATCAGTGAGTCTGCGCTGTCTGCAAGTGGCATCCTGCAGTACTTGTAGCCCTCCAAAAATAGAGGCTGGACAGTGCTCTTATTGACATCCGGGAGGGAAAAGAATAGCAGGCTCCCTGTTCACGCCCAAGGCATTTTGTTGAGAGTCTGCAGCCCCTGGGCTGAAAATCAGTTTAATTATGTATTGACAGTGGATGTTAAGCGCGGAAACCGGGCAGGCTGGGGCATCAGTGCCATTGAAGGGCACATTCCTGGCCCCAGGCTTGGTTAAACAAGCTGCTGTATTCAGAGCCCTGTGCCATTGACGTTTTAGTTTAACTTGCACCATTCTGCTTTATTTTGAAATTCTCTCCCAGCCCAGATGCTGGATGTTTGTAGATTAGAATAGCTGTGTACCCAGAGCAGAAAGCAGTGTCTCTGGTTGGCAGCACAGAGCCCTGCTGATGGTGTGTCCTTTGGACAGGCCAGCCAGGTATCTCGGGGAAGTGAATCCTGTCATAAATTACAGCAATTTGTTGTGACTGCATTCAGCTGTGGGAATCATCAATGGGGAAGTGGGTATCTTCTAGGGCTGCATTAAGATGGAAATGCTGGAAGGGAGCTGGGTGTGCCTAGTGTGACTTTAGTCAGCATCTTAGGGGTTTAGGGACAGCCACCTTTGGGCCAATGGCACAGCTACTGCATTGTCAGCATGTTATTTCCTTCTTTGATTAACCAGACATCATTGAAAAAGAGGGAAGAGTAATCTCTAGAATCGTATTTCAGTGGTTCTCAGCTGCCCCAAAACCAATTTCTGTCCTTGTAAAATATTTCTTGGGGAAGGAAAAGAAACCAAGACCTGCATACTGAATAGGAGTTCCAGCCTTTTAGTGTGGGAGGTTATTTGCTCATGACACCAAACTTGCAGTGTATTTAGCTCAGCCCACCCCATTCTCTGTCCTTTCTTGTTGAAGGTCTCAACCTGTGCACGAGTGGAAGTGCCTCATCCTGCGAAGAGTGTCTCCTCATCCATCCCAAGTGTGCTTGGTGCTCCAAAGAGGTATGTTCCTTCTTCTGCTCCTTCAGCTGTCTCCCACTCTGCATGGGGCACTGTCACTGCATGGGCTCAGTTGCAGGGAGCCTTGCTGGAAAGCACTCTGCCCTGGCTGCCATCCCAGTACGTGCTGCATGGCCTGCAACAGAGGTAAATCCCCTCTGTGAGTCTGCTGTGTTGTTTCAGGAGACTGCCAGTGCTTCTGGTGTCTGCACCGATGGCAATGAGCTGTGCAGTTTACCAGCATGCTTTGCAGCAAAAATGCATCCTTATGTTTTGGGTATCTTGTAGTCTGAAATCATCTCCCCTTGTTAAATAGAGTGGTTCAATTGGAAGAGGCCTACAAAGATCATTGCGTCCAACTGCCTGACTGCTGCACAGCTGCAGCTCTCCAAGGAAAGCATCTTCGTGCTGCTGTAGTATTACATTACCTGACAGAATAACAGCTCCTGTGCTTTTTTTTTTTTTCTTTCCCAGGAGGATGAGTGATGCATAGAAGGCAAAGGGAAAGGGTAAAGCAGTAGATCTTACTTTTGAGACATCTTGTAAACAGCTGTAGAAGTTCCTGTTCCAGGCAGCTAATCTGCAGTGTGATATTGCATCCAGGAGCGCTGGCTATCACTTATGGGTACCCAATAGTTTGCCTTTAAATATATCAAATTCTTGGCATCAAAAGACAAGTTTTACAAATGCTGCCAGTGGAAATGTTGATCTGGTGGTCACTACGACCACTAATAGTACCACTAATAGTACGTCAGCCTGTGGCATTGGCAGCTTGACTCTTTATCTTGCAAACAGAAGAGTTCCCAAACAAAATAGTTTCCAAATGGAGTGGAGGGGCCGGGGGAGGGAAGAGAAGTGTTTACAAGGAAGTTCCGTAATCCTTCCTGACCTTTAGCCTGGAGCAGCTATTTAAAAATGCACTTCCAGGTATTTCTGGCCAAGAGCCACATGTTAAAAAGCCGCTGTCCCTGTTACAGACTGTGAGCTGGAACTTAGTGAGCTCTTGTTCTAACTCTGTATTGTTTTATAATGTGATGCCTATGAAAGGCAGAGCTGAAATAGGATCATCTATTTAAATTACACTTGAAAGAGGAGATGTAAAACGTAGCTGGCTGTCTTCTGGGTGTGCCTTGCGACAGGGCTGGCAGGGGAAAATACCTGGCGTGAGTGTACATTGTGTGGATGTACATCCACCCGTGGGTTATGTGTGCAGGTATATTTGTGTGTGTGCACTCAAGCCAGGGATGCTAATAAATCCTATTGATTAAACTGAAATTTTTTCTTGGGTGAATTGAATTCTCCCATGTTTTCCAGTGACGTGCATGCACCCTGTGCTTTGTGATGGCAGGAGTTTGTGCCTGGAGGATGAGGAAGGAAAATCAAGGGATCTCCTGGAGGGAACATGTCAGCTTTCTAAGTGAAGGAAGAAAGCATAGTTTCTGCTGAATTAATGCAGGATTGAACTGATTAAAGCAAAAACTGTAGGGAATAGCTTGGGACATGTGAAGTCAGAGTTATGTATAGCCAATGCTGTTCTTGCATGAGCCAAGCAATTTGTCTTAAAACGTCCAAGCTGATGAGCATGTAATTGTCGCGTTGTTGGCCTAATCTCCATTAACTCGTATCTGCTTGCATGCATTGCCTTTTGCTTGCTTATTGGTGCACAGGCCCAGCAAGCAGTGTGAGCCAATACCAAGAGCTGCAGGGTGTGATCTCTGAGCAGATGCCATTCTGCAGCACGAGCCAGTGCAGCTCAGCAATTGTCATCCTGTGGCAATTCCCTGGGGCCAGTTTCAGAAGAAATCTAAGCAGAAAATGGGTCAGGAGCAGCAGAGATAGGGAGCTGCAGAATTGCAGAGGTGCTGCTGAAGTGAGAGCTTTTGCAGTTACTGTCAAATGGTGTTCTGCATCCCCTCGAGAGCTGAGTTATTCCTCTCAAATTTCTCCTGAAGAGGAGTGTCTCCTGCCCAAAATGTGGACTGAGGTGGCTGAAGTAGCCTTGTGGAGGTGGAAGCCCATGAGAGCTATGTCCCTTGTGTTGCTGGTGGCTTGGCTTGGTGGGACAGTCAGAGCTGGGAGCTGAGAATTGCTGTAAACACATACCCAGAGCCTTTTTCCTGGTGCTGCAGGGTATGCTACCAAGGGCTGATAGGTGGTGAGGAAGCATCCTCCTCCAAGGCTGCATTGTGCTACCCCATGCCAGCCAGAAAATCGGGTCCCAGTTCACTGCCCTTTGAAGTCAAGACATCCCATAAACATCAAAAGGTTTTGGAGCATGCCACAGGGGTGATTGGATGTGCTTGACAAAGACTGGCTTCTCGCTGATTTAATCATAGAATATCCCAAGTTGCAAGGGACCTGTAAGTGTCATAGAGTCCAACTCCTTTAAGGACTAATCATGTCTGAGATAAGCTCTTCCCCACAGCTGCCCTGAACCTACTGCTTTGCTGGGCGTTGTTCTTGGCTGGGAGGGACTCTGCTCTCTATTTTGTCATGTTGGAGATGATTTACGCAGTCCCAGTCCTCCTCTCTCTCAGTCCATCTGTTTACATGGTGCATTCCAAGAAATTCATGTTCACATCCATCTGATGTGCTGTCGCCTAGGCTTGGCATTGCTGCTCCATGCTGGAATGCAAACTTTGCATTTTTCAAATAGTGTTCAGCCCTTGTAGTGAGGAAACACAGAGGAAATACTCTGTATGTGTCCCAGGACCTGAAGTTGTCCTTGGGAACACTCCTGAGCTGTGTTTGACATCAGTCAGACAACTTCTGCCTCCTTGATGTTTCCCCTGTCACTTGCTGCTCTCCAGCATTGACAGAAAGTGGGATTTATCCAACCCTGCTCTGCTTTTTTGGCTGTGTAACTGAGGGAGGGGCTGTGAGCATCTTATTTCCATTATTTTGTGTGATTTTAGTATCTGCTTAGCTCCCAAGCAGAAGATGGTTGTGTCTATTGTTATAGTACAAAAATAAGCAGAAATCTGATGTTGAAAATTCAGTAAGCTTTGGGCAACTTGCTCCTTTTAGCCTTTTCAAAAATAAAACTAAAACCAGCACACTAACAAATAGGACGTGCTGGCTGCCAAAGGCTGCATTGTGAGGCCAGGCTGTTCCTGAGTGCCTGCCACACACAATGCCCTGTTGTGTGCCATGGTGGGGGCCGGCCAGGGGCTGCAGGAGGCCTGGGGGAGGCATGGGGGAAGATGTCCCTGTTCATTGCAGTGGAGGTTGGACCACATGACCTTTAAGGGTCCCTTCCATAATACTGTGTGCTATGGGGAGCTCTGTGTCAGCTGCCTCTCCAGTCTGCTCCTGCTGGTTGCTTGTCCAGCCTGCAGCTGATTTGGTCTAACACCTCCCATCAGCCCTCATCCAAGTCCCTTATTCTCCAGCAGAGCTTCCCTAGACAGCCTGCCCATGTCAGAGCACTCCAGCTGTGCTCCAGCCTACAGAACTCTTGCTGCAGTGGCATTTTTCCTGTGCGATAATCCAGGGTCCTCTTTGCAGTGGTTTGAGGTAGGGGTACCATGGTGCTGGTGCTGGGATGTGTGGTCTCACCCAGGCAAGAGGGTACGTATGTCCCTGGAGCCCCCAGCCTTGTTCTCCAGCTTGCATATGGCCCTCTGTCTTCTCTTGGCAACAATTCTGCGTTCCTCTCTTTTGTCAAGCTCCACCAGGCTCAGGCACACATGGAAAAATTCACCTGGTCTTCTCCTTTCCCTTTCCAATCTGTCTGTTCTTCCCCCCCCAGGAGTTTGGCAGCACGAAGTCCGTCCCATCGCGGTGTGACTTCCTGCAGAACCTCATTGCCAACGGTTGTGCCGGCGCCATCGAGAACCCACGCAGCAGCAGCAGCGTGATGAAGAACATCCCCTTAAGCAGCAAGGGCTCTGGGCAAAGCCATCTGGATGTCACACAGATCACTCCGCAGAAGGTCACCCTGAGTCTTCGTCCTGGTGAGTCCCAGCAGCTCCCAGCTCCATGGTTGCATGTGGGTGGGCAAGAAGTGGAACTGGATGTAGGATCATAGAGTCATTTGAATTGGAAGAGGCCTTAAAGGTCATCTAGTCCACCTGCTCTGCCACAAGAAAGGATACCTGCTGCTAGATCTGGGTGCTCAGAGCCTGGTCCAGCCTGAGCATGCAGAGGGATGGCTGTACCCATGTCCTCGTGCTCACTGAAGGTGCTGGCTGCTGGCCATCAGAGTCCATCAGCTTCAGTGATATGCTCCAAACAGAACTGGGTCTGAGGTTTTCTTTGAGAGGACAGTGAGAGGTCAATCAGATCCTTCGTAAAGCTGTCACTTAACCCTTGTTTGCATTTAAAAGGAGCACGCTCAGCTTAAAAATGCACCCTTTGGATGGAAGGAGTTAAAGAAACTTTGGATCCTGAAGCCTGACAGTGCTTGACTCTAAACTGAGACAGCTCCTTATGTAAATTTTTTTTAAAAAGCATATCTGTTTTCTGTTGGTATGCAAAAGAGCCATGGGATCAAGGCCTGAGATGAAGATTTGAACTTGTGACTCAGAGCTTGGACCATATCCACATCCTTGTTTCATTCCCCTGAGCCATCACTTTCCTTAAGTCTTTTCATTTTAAATGAAAATTAAGAGTGAAAGGCTAGATGGAGCCACGCGAGCGTGCTTGTTATCAAAAGTTTTTGCATGGTGGGGGAAGGCTTTAATGTGGGTTCAGAATTCTAACAAACATTTGGCAGCCAATGTTTCTGAAGGGGGGAGAAAAAGCTCTTTATGGCAAAGTTAAGAAGCAAGTATAAAAGCATGATTCATTATAAGCAATTGGTGTGGGTTTCTAGGGCTTATGTTTCTGTGACAGCTCTCATGAGCATACAGAAAAATGAGATAGGATGTTTTTGCCCAAGAAAAACAGCAGTGTGAGTTGGTGCTCACCACACTAGAGCTCTTTCAGGAGCTACCAGGGCTGACGGTGGCTCCGGTGTGGCTCTGCTTCTGCAATTTGATGCTGCTAACGCAACAGGTTTGCTCCCGTCCAAAGGGAGTTGTTACTGTTATTACTCTGTTCCTCAAGGCAGTCGCTGTGGGAAAGGGCAGGCTCAGCATTGCCGTCTTGCAGGCATGATGCCTGGTGCTCAGCACTTTCCTTTCCCCACCCCCAGCTGTTGGGATGCCCATGGCTCCAGCAGTGAGGTGGGATGTGGGGTCCATCTCTGTGTGGTTCTCCTGGGGCTGTGTTGCTGGATGCTGGAGCTGCTGTTCCTGCTGGGCCTTGCAGGGAGCCAGGCTGCACTGCCAAGTTCCTATATGGCAGGAAGATGGAAAGTGGGGCTGATAACCCCTCTAGGGTGCTGCACTGCTCCTGCTTCACCTGTATGCTGTGGGTTACCATAGCTTGTGGACAAATCATATGTATGCATGTGGACATAGCTTGCTGGACAAATCATAGAGTCATGGAGAGGCTTAGGTTTGAAGTGACCTTAAAGATCATCCATTCTCAACCCCATGCCTTGGGCAGGGCTGCCAACCTCCAGATCAGTCTGCACAGGGCATATCCCACCTGGCCTTGAGCGCCTCCAGGCATACAGGGATGAACATGGATGGGGTATCCATAGCTCCTATGGGCAAACAGCAAAGGCCTGCAGAAATAGGGAGTGAAGGTGAGGCTGTACTGCTGCTTTTGAATACCAACAAATGCAGGAGCCAGGGAAGGACAGGAATCTTGCCAGCAGCTTTCTGCTGTCTCGCCTTTGCAACTGATCCTGTGGCTGCAGGACTTGCCCTCAAATCCTTCAGGTCACTACAGGAGGAGAAATATATCTACATTTTTCATATTATCTCCCATTTGTACTGCTTTTCTTTTTCGTTTTTGTTGCAAAGCAGCACACTCTTACTCAAGGCTGATGACTTCCCAAATGCTGGGCTTTGCACCCCCAGTTTAAATCATCCATTTGTACTTGAGCTTGAGAGTGAATCCTGAGGGCTGCACCCAAGACAAAAAGGAGACAATATTGATTTAATTTTGTGCATATTGTGCATAATACCAATTTTGTGCTCCAACGGGAGTTATTTCTTTTTGTGCCCAGAGTGTAGGATTTCAAAGACCAATTGACACAGCAGGCGTGGTGATTGTGCTCTTCTATTCTCAGACCGCTAAGCAGAAGCAGAACGGGGCAAATTGTCAATTGTTTGCTGGTCCCACCCAGGCTGTGAGATCTGAGCATCCCATGGCATAAAAACACATCCCCAGATCTCTGTGCTCTGAGTTGATTCCTGAAGGCCTTACAGTGATGTCTTCTCAGGGCAACTTTCAGATCAAGCATTTAGTTTTTATGATGTTGCTTGTTAACTCTGGGTTCAGCTATAAGACAGTGTTCTGGTATGAAAAGTACGAATATTGTAAAAGGAACTTAAAGCAATGAATAGATTCATGTTGTGTTGTCCATTAAATCAGCAATCAGAAGAGGGTTTTGTGGATAATCGCGGTTGACAAATTTGCATTCTTAAATTGGCCAAAGGCAGCTTTTCCAGTTTTTGTGCTGCCTCTGTGTGACAGTATCCAGGAAACATTTCTGAATGCAGTTTTAACTTTAATGCTTCTCAATAAAAGCCCTAAGGAGAGGATGGTGGCGGTGGTAGGGGGGGGAAGGAAGAGGCTGGGTTATCCCTGAAGAGTCAGACAAGTACTGTACACAGCGAAAAATAAATTCTTTTGTACTGACATCGCCATACATTAGCAATATTTTCTGTGAGCTAATTAATTTGTGTAGTTAGGAATGAAAGAAGAAGCAACCCTGGGATCCTGATATTATTGCTGTTTCTTTGTGGACTAATACATTCATTACCATCAAGGAGGGTTCAGTGGAGTATCCCAAGAACTCTTTCCAGCATGGCAATTCCCGTCTTAGGACCTACTCTGGAAGAACAGTATTTTTGAAACTGCCGTGTCTGGGGCACTGTATGCCAAAGGCACATTTCCTTTTTTCTCAATGGGTTAAGTGGGGAAAAATGCATCTTGGGGTGGGAGTTGCACGGGGCTCAGGGGAGGAGGATCTGGCACCATGTGGGGCAATAGAGCGCTGGGGATGCTGCAGAGCACTGGGGATGCTGCTGTTGCCTGCTCGTGGGCTGGAAGTAAGTGGGAGCAGCTGTGCTGCTGCAAACAATGAGGAAAACAATAAAACTTTTAGGGAAATGTTTTCATGATAATAAAAAATGTGCTTTTCATTTCTGAAGTGGGAGGAAGCAAAGAGTGCTGCAGAACCTGCTGGTGCCTGAAAGTTCAGCCTGGGCTGTGAAGTGAGAGGTGGAACGGAAGGGGTGCTTTGGGCTTGAGATGACTTTAACCCCTGAGGACTCAGCAAGCTGGAAAAGGGGCTGCAGAGCCAGCAGGAGATACAGGATTTTTAGCTGGAGAGTACTGGGGATTTCAGTTTGTCCCCTCACTGTATTGTTGGCAAAATGTAAGGCAGACATTGGCCTTGTCCCTTCTGGCTTCAAGTTGAGCTCATATTTATGCCAGCTCACCTTCTTCAGCACGTGGACTCCTATTCTGGACACTGTCTTGACCAGAAGAGCTTTGCAGAAGGGCAGGTCAGGGAAGAGGCTTACTTCAGCTCTTTTTCATGTCTTCTCAGCCTGACTCAGTCCTGTCAGTTTCCTCCCTTGTGTTCATCACTTTGGATGAAAGCTTTATCTCCACTTTGATACTTCCCCATTTGAGTGCAACATCCCTCTTTTCCTGTTTCACTTCCCTTTTTGCCCTGCTTTCTCCAGAGTGATGGTGACATGACTCTTTTCCTGCGGAGAGGTCTTTCTAAAAGATGTTCTTTCTTTATTTGCCTCAACCTGCCTTCCAGGCACAGTCCAGAGGACATCTTGCCTTCAACTCATGTTTTGTCCTGACCCTCTTCCTTCTTCTGCTCCACCTCCTTTCCTTCTTGTATAGGGCTTCCTTGCTTACCTGTTAGTCTCCTGAGGAGTAAACTTGAAAAAACTTGTTCCCCTTAACCCTCTTAGTTTGCAAGAGAGCCTGCTCTGCACAGTGAAAGCAAAAATAGCACGCAGTCTAGATTTGATGATGTGCTAGGTGTTTTCTTGCAGTGCTTTTCACTGCTCTCAACTATTGTGTGTGTGCAGGTGACAGGACCTCCTTCCGAGTTCAGGTCCGGCAAGTGGAGGACTATCCTGTGGACCTGTACTACCTGATGGATCTCTCCCTGTCCATGAATGACGACCTGGACAATATTCGCAATCTGGGGACAAAGCTGGCTGAAGAGATGCGGAAGCTCACTAGCAATTTCCGGCTGGGCTTTGGCTCTTTTGTGGACAAAAACATTTCTCCTTTCTCCTACACAGCACCGAGATACCAAAACAATCCCTGCATTGGGTAAGTAGGTGCTCCCCAAAAGGAGAAGCCCAGTGCAGATACTAACAGTGTCTGGAGAGTCTTTCCTTGCAGTTCTGGCTTTAGGCACCGAACCACACTTTTGGAACTGTGTGGTAATGCTCCAGAGCCATTCAAAATCAAGCAATTCCCAATTTTGCAACAGCTTTTGGGGTTACTCTGATCTAAAGATGTGCCTACATGTTCCTCTTGTGCCAGGAATCTAAAGCTATTTTTAAATACCTGAAGAGGATGCAGACATTGCTGGCTTTATTTATTTATTTTTTTTTTAGAGACTTTGAGAAAAGGGAGCAAGAGCCAGAAATTCCTGATTTCTGATCCTGTCTCTGAGTCATAGTTTGGCCTTGAGTAGGTCAATTAAGCTCTTCTTCTCTGCTTTACAGATAAGGAGACCAAAGCAGTGCAATTCTTTCCCAGCAGAAGTGTTTGGGGGAAGTGAGATTTGGAAGGGCCTGTGAGACTGATTAATGAGTATTTGTAAGGCATTCTGAAGATGTCAGGCAGTTTCCTTCATCTTTATTGCCAGGGAATGAAAGCGAACTGGCAATTGCAACAGACACAAATAATGCAGTTTGCTTTGCGGTGTTATCAGAGCCTTTTTTTTTCCTTGTTAGTAGCTTTCTTAGTGTCTTTTTGTTTGACTTGTAACAGCCAGAGGATCTAGTCTGTTGAATCAAGGATTATGCCAGAGTGAAATAGGCTGACATGGAGGGCGTACAGGCTCAGGTGGATTTGGATGTTGGCATGTGAGGGTGCAACAATGAGTCATAGAATCATTAAGGTTGGAAAAGATCACAAAGATCACCAAGTCCAACTCCAACCCATCCATACCATGACCACTAACCACTAACCCAGTGCCCATCTGCTCTTTTTCTGAACATCTCTGGGGATGATGGCTCTACCACCTCCCTGTGCCAGTGCATCACTACTCTTTATGAGGAGTGATTTTTTCCTAATATCCAACCTGAAGTTGCCTCCTTGGAGAATGTTGCCTTTGACACTTCTCTTCATGCTCCTTGTCCTGCCCCTTCTTCTCCTCATCCCTTTTTGGGGTGCTCTTTATTGCTTGAAAGGGCAGTAGAATTAGCCCTTTTTTGTGAAGCATGCAGAGATACTTAGGCTGTGAGATCACATCACAGACGCCAAACTTTATGAGTGTGCTTGCTCTAAGCTTTCTGTATGAGAGGCAGATTAGAGAGAGTTTTCATCAGCTGTAAGTCTCTTGCCATCTTTTGGCATTGACTGAATATTTGACATCTCATCACCTGTTCAGCAGACAAAATTATCCACGCACTTTTTTCATCAGTCCTATCCAGAGAGGAAAGTCAATTGGATGGTGATTTTAATACTAAAAACTCATGCTTTGGCTGTGAAGCATAGCCACAAATCTGGAACTCCTTGACTTTGGTGCCCTTGCACGTGTTTATAGTGGGATGAAAGTAGGTAAGTCAGAGGAAAGTACAAAGCTTGTTTTGGAGCATATAGAGTTCTGCAGCACCCAGATGAAAGCCCTGGCTAGTGAAGGAGTACTTTCATCTGTCACTTTTTCTTCAAACACTTCCTCTTGTTCAGAGCATTCAGGTTATGCAGTATTTTCCATTCTGCATCCCTTGCATGCCTAGCTTTGGGACGCTGCTGTAATGGAAACAACCTGGCTGACAAACCTGGCTGGGCATGGACAAGTGGCTCTACACGTGCTGTTCACTGACACCATAGCACTGTGTCCTCTGCTCTACACAGATCTTTCCCTGCCCCTGAGATTTGGCATGGCCTCAGGGATGCACGCAGTCATCTCTTATTTGCTGCTGCACCAAAGCTCAGCTGCCATGCTCAGGAGGCTGGATCTGCTAGGTCCTTGTGTGGTGATGTGTGTGGGTTTGCACAATGGGGACATGCATGTGGCACACAGCTTTTGGCATGGGAGGAATTAGAGCCACCAGCAGTGGTAAACTTTAACTGTTCCTTTGTTAGAAAGCATCTTAGACCCTACCCACAGTGAGTCATTTTTTTCTTTCTATCTCTGAAGATAAGAATGACCTACTGCAAGTGCAACTCCTTTGTAAACACATTTTATTCTTAACTTTTCTCCTCCCTCTCCCCTGCCCATGCTCACCTCCTGCCCAGACCTGCAGGACTTGCTCAGCTCAGGGCTCCCAAGCACACCATGAGCACCAACCCTAAGAACACCAAACCTTCGAGGTTTGTTGCCTCCTGGCAGCTTTGCAAGGTTTCCTGGCAGCCTACTGCGTCATTTCTCCACCTTAGGGTGCTGCTCCTTCCTTGCTGCTCCAAGCTAAGCAGGAGTGACAGTGTTTGCTCATCTGCCTTGCGGGGAGAGTGGGAGGATGCATGAGTGATTAAGTAGATGCATGCCCACTGCATTGCTGTGCTGTGGGCTCTAGTGGGAAACTGCTGTGACTTATGGGCACTGAAACCTCACAGCCATATGGCCCCGGTGCTTGTTGTCTCCACTTGAATGTTGTATGGAGACATTCAGTCCAGATGAGAACTCTGCAAGCTTCAGCTGCTCAAAGCCAGTGCAGAGATGGGCTCTACTGTGTGTTTGTGGATAACTAGCCAGAAATCAGAGCATCCAAAGCATGAAGTCTTGTAGAAGGCTCAGAGATTTGGAGGCCTGTGTAGTAGAGCTCGGAGCTCCTGCAGCTTGTGGCTCTTGGTGAGGTTGATGCCAACTAACCCTTCCTCTTCTGCTCCTCTTGCAGGTATAAGCTGTTCCCGAGCTGTGTCCCTTCATTTGGTTTCCGCCATCTCTTGTCCCTGACGGACAAAGTCGACCGTTTCAATGAAGAAGTGCAGAAGCAGAAGGTGTCCCGGAACCGGGATGCACCAGAGGGTGGTTTTGATGCAATTTTGCAGGCTGCTGTGTGCAAGGTGAGTCCCACTGCCTTCTGGGTATTTAAAGCAAAGTAAAAGAGAGGAAGTTTCTTTAGCTGTGTTCTTGGATCCAGCTTCAATGCGTAAATTTTTATTGTAGAAACCATGAAAATTGCATTGAGAAGTAGAGGTTTTTATCTGCTTTTATGCATGAAGAGGCATAGCAGAAATGCATCTTCCTTGCTGTCACCATTCCACACAGGACAAGCCCTCTCCCTGCAGTGCACAGCTAGGTTTGCATGCTGTTCTCACTGCAAGATTCTTGCTCAAAATCCTCCTGGAGCAAGCGGTTGGGTTGCTCCATATCCCTTTGTGAGCTGGGGATGAAAACCAATGGTTCTTTCAAATGTCCTCTCCCCTGGGCAGTGCAGTTGGGCTGCCCTGCTCTCCACAGACAGCCCCAGCTGCCTTTTTCCCTCTGACATACAGAATCACAGTATCACAGAATGGCCAGGGTTGGTAGGGACCTCAAGGATCATGAATCTCCAACCCCCTGCTACATGCAGGACCACCAGCCTCCCCATTTAGTACTAGCCCAGGCTGCCCAGGGCCCTATCCAGTCTGGCCTTGAACACCTCTAGGGATGGGGCATCCACAACCTCTCTGGGCAGCCTGTTCCAGCACCTCACCATTCTCTCTGTAAAGAACTTCCCCCTGACATCCAACCTAAATCTTCTCTCCCTCAACATAAAACACACACAATTTGGCTTTTGTCCAGCTCAGCCTTGCACAGTTCTTTTGGTAGGTTCTATTTTCTTGTGGGTGTGGATTTTGGGATAAGCATCATCCGCAGGAGCAGTGGGATGCAAGCTTGTGCAACAGGATTGAGTGGGAATGCATATCGCCCTTTGTTCACATTGGGTGCTCGACAGGACCGAGCCTGCCCTGCTGGCTCCGATGCCTCAGAGCAGCCGTCTCTCAGGTGCTGCTGGCACTGGAACAGCGCTGCTTCCAGCTCTCTGTAGGTACAAAGTTCATCATGTGGCTGAGAGGTGGCACTAGAGCAGGGAAGTCTCAGGGCAGTGACTCAGTTGTGCCACCCTTCGTCTGGCTCTTTGCGGTTTCTCCGTCACATTTTCCTTACCGCAGCAATGGGACAGGATTTCCTTATAGTGCAGAAATACTGCACAGAGGCATCATTTGGGCTGTGCTTCTTAAGCCCCATAACCCCTAGGGGAACTTTGTTCCCTTTGCAGGTGGTGATTTGGGGGCTGTCTGTGGCCCTGGGGTGTGTTTCCCCATTGCCACCTGTCTGCAGTAGCCCGTTGCCTCTCCTGGTGTGCTCCAGCTCTTCCAGCTTTCACCCTTTAGGGAATTTCAGACCCCCTGGGCACTTAAAGAAGCCATTTGTAGCATCCCAAGAGGCGGCCCTCAGCAGCCCCAGTGTCTGAGCACCATGTTCTCCCCTGCAAGCACAGAGGTAGGAGAAACAGTCCCTCATTTGTTGGTGAGGTGTTTTCATGCTGTAATTCACATCGAGTGTTTCTTTTGCATGAGCTGTTAAGAGAGCTCTGTCATTTTTTGGCTGAGGTTTTGAACTGAGGAGTGAGAAGAGCTTGCACAGTTAATACAGACTAATAACTGGTCTGTGTTTGGCTCCTCTCTGAAAGATGGAGAGATGGTAAATGTTATTCTGGAGGCAATGAAAGAGCCAGAGACAATAAGCCTTTATGCTGATGCTAGAACGGTTAGCCAGGAATATTAATCAACTTTCTGTAATTACATTTTCCGTTTGCAGTACTTTGATTTTCTGCCATCTTGAAGTGCAGACATCATAGAGCTTGGTGGCACATGTAAGTTGCAGATCGTATACACAGAGCTGCAGCAAGAAAGTGATGCTTAGTTGTAAAATGAAGTGTCTTTTGAACTGCTTTTGGTCAGCGCTCATTAGGCACAATGTTTAGCATAAATTTAGATGCTTACTTCAGAGTTGGAAACACTGATAACAATCTGGCCGCCTTTTCAATGGGGTTTGGAAGGCTGCGGTGTGCTGAGGCAGCTGTGGTGGTTCTGACAGCAGCAACTGTGGGAGCAGGGCAGGATTTATTCCTGCGTGGCCCTGCAGAGACATGTCCTTACCCTCCATGCTGCCTCAGGTCAGGTCCCACCCTGCCTTTCAAACCTTCATATCCCACGGGGATTAAACCAGCGCCGGCGTCAATGCAGATCACTGTTCAAAAATCACGGGCCAGTAAAAATAAATGCAAGCCTCTTTGGTTGTTTGTTTTAAGCAGAGCAGAGCACTGTATGTCTCGTACAGAGCGGCATTTCCCAGCACTTTGCAGCTGCAGGAGGAGGCAGTGAGAGATGCTGCAGCTGCTCACTGCCAACCTCTTGGTTTTTCCACCCGTCTCCAGCAGCCATGCACATTTTGTAACGTTTTGGTGTTTGCTGCATTGGCTCGAAGCACCGTGCAGCTTCGGCATCAGGGTGGGTGTCTCAGCTGAGATATGCTGCCCAGATTTTTCAGCATTTCTATGTGCTTAGCTTAAGTGTGAGAATAGGGGTGAGTCTGTGTATGAAGAGGTACATAGCCCTTGGTGAGAAGGTGGTGCCAGAAGGCAGGAAAACAGAGGAATCATGCCTGGAGAGGCTGCATAACTGTTGTCTGAATGAAGTTTGTTTGCTTTGTGCATAGCACTCTTCTAAGCTTCTAATCTGTGGTTTTTCTCTCAGTCCTTAAAGAAGTCAGCTTTGGGTACCGAAGGAAAGTGAGCTGATGGGCTGTTGGGTGGGTGTCTGTCCACTGGCTGAGTGGTGCAAGAAGCTGCTTGCTTTGTCAGAGCCATAATCACTCTTGGGGTTTCTGCCTTTTGTTTGGTGGGGTTGCTTCAGTGGAATGGCTCCCACTTCCCAGACCAAAAAAAGCCCTTATTGCTTTCTGACCTAGATGGCAGTGTGCTGCTACATGGCACACCCGTCCTGCCAGTGAGGGTTTCCTCTGGTCATACCTGCATTACATGGCTCTTGAAAATGCCCTTAAAGAAAAAATATTTCTTGCATTGGGGAAGAAAAGGAAGTAGAGTCTGGAGTAGTTCTCCTGAAGCTGTATTTACCAGAAAGGTCAGCAGTCTGTGGGCTGTGACTCACATCTGCAGCTGAAAATTGTGGTGGCAATCATGGTTATACTTCTGTGTGCACTGCCAGCTCACTGTCACTCCACCAGCGGTTTCCATAGGAAATGCCTGCAGCCAAGCTGCAGAAGTTTGTCAGCTGGTGTTTGAATGTAGGATGAAGTAGGTTTCAGATGTTACTGAGTAAGCTGAGCAGTGAAATCCAGAGGAGTTGGGTCTTTTCAGATGTGGATTGCATCTGGGTGCTCCTGGCTCCATAATCTGTGCACTGGGGGGGCTGGAGGCCAGAGCCATCCACATGTGTATGTGGAGAGAGCTTCTACCTGATGGCATCCAAAAATTTCCTTCTGGCACCTCTGTTTCTCTCCACCTCCATTGCAACAAGCAGCTTCAGTGTGCTTTCTTAGGCACGGATCTGCTTCTTGGGCTGGTGCAGAGCTGAGGGAGCTCTGTGGGAGGGAAACAATTAGCATCCAACTCTAGTGCCTTTCCATGCAAAAACCCTATCCCTGCAGATCTATCCATGCACAGACAGTCACAACGCCTATTTCTTGCACAGATGGCCTGCATGTAAGGCTCTTGCTTTCTGTGCTGCAGTCCTGAAGCTGCTTTTCCGAGTGGGTTGCAAGAAAAATGCTGAGTAGGGCTGGTGCAGCTCTCATGCTGTGTGCAGCAGCGCAGCCATTTCACCGAGCTGAGGAAACGAGGTCAGATGAAACGCGTGCAGAGGAATTTGGCATGTCTCCTCTGGCTATAAAAGCAGCTGAAATTCTTATTCTTGGATCAAGGTAGAGAAGGTCTGGTGGACAGTCCATGTACCAACTCATGCCTTTTTAAGTAACTGCATTGCAGGGAGGTGCTGGGAAATGCTAGAAGGGCCCCAACATCATCTTTTCTCACCAGACATGGGTGGACAGATGTACGGCTTTCTACTAATTAGTGTTAATGAGGCCTTTTGTTCTGCCTCAGGAGAAGATCGGCTGGCGGAAGGAAGCATCCCACCTGCTGGTCTTCACCACGGATGATGTGCCCCACATAGCTCTGGATGGGAAGCTGGGGGGGCTGGTGCAGCCCCACGATGGCCAGTGCCACCTGAACGAGGCCAATGAGTACAGCGCGTCCAGCCAGCTGGTGAGTGGGCACAGGGACCTTGGGGATGTCAGTGGGCCCTGTGCTGCTCTGGGCTCTGTTTGCTCCTGATGAGTGTGGTTTTACTCTTTCCCTCAGACATCTCCACTCAGTGAATGCACTTGTGATGCTTGAAGATAGGTTTGGAGCCTAGCAGATTTTGTCAGGATTCACTGACAGGGAGGGAAATGTAACTTGGCAAGCTGAAGTGCATCATCAACTGCGAAGTGCCCAGGGATTGTCAGGCTGTCAGCAGGGAGGCTGAGCCTACCTTGATGTGGCTGCTGCCACGAGCACAACTTGGTGCTGATCCTATTCACAGCCTTTGAGCACAACCCTAACGTAGATCTTAGTACTAAATAAACAGACCAGCCCCTTTTTTTTCTCCCTTTATTTAAACTCAGTGGAGGAAACTTCTGTGGTGAATGAGCATTTGTCTGCTGCCTAATTATCACATCCTCCTGCAGAATGGTGCTTTATCCAGCAAGTCACAAGCACTAATTATGATTTTTGTTCCTGCATACACCACTCTGTGACAAGAGGTGTTTCTGGATGGTTGCCTATGGCTCCTTAGAGAATCCCCTGTCCACAGCCCATGCAATCTTGCAAGTGTTTGCATTCCAGAGTACAGCTGCTGTACTGGAGCTGTGCTGGGGAGCTGGCATGGGGATGCTGTCTCAATGTTTATTTGAGTCCTGGAAGCTCTAAATCAGCCCTTCAGCTTGCAAGTGAGTGGGGTGAATTTTCTGAGAGCCGCATTTCAGAAGAAGCTTGGGGCCTGAAGCTCTTGAAATGTATACAGTTTTGTTATTTTGTTGCTTATGAATTGCTAGAACAGTACCTTCCTGCTAGCCTTTCTCTGAGTTCTGCAGAATTGAAGTTTATCATCGTTTCTTCATGGTTCTACTACACAGCAATAGCAGGCAATCTCAGCTTTCAGAGAAAAATCATGCATCTCTGCTTAGTGCAGTTCTAGATCATGGTCATGTCTTGCATCCCTGGGGTTGGCAGGTGGGTTACACGTGCACATCGGCTGATAGCAAAGTTGAAAGAGGAGGGGAAAAAAAATTGTTTCAAGTGTTACTGTGGCTCATGGTGTTGTCATTTTATGCATTCTAATGATAGGTGCAGCAGAAGTATTCAGGGAGTGACAGAATTACCAGAATGTTTCTACTATTTCAGTTGCAGATGTAGTGGTTCACTTCACGCTGCAGTGAAATGCCACAGGTTTTGCTGTTGGGAGAAGAGTAATGAAATTAGTCTTTGTTCTACCCATCAGTCTTTCTGTGTTGTTTTTCCCCTAGGATTATCCTTCCCTGGCACTCCTTGGGGAGAAACTGGCTGAAAACAACATCCACCTGATTTTTGCTGTTACAAAAAGCCATTATGTCCTGTACAAGGTAAGTGCTGCTGAGCAGTTCATGGGCAGGGCTTAGGGTGCCTCTTGAGAGCGTCTTGGCCATGATGCCCTTAGGTCACACCAGCTTGGCACAGCTGTCACCTCTCCCTGCTAGCACCATGAGCATGGTCATTCAGTGGAAAGCACTAAAGCTGCTTACTGCAAGCAGATCTCTGTGTTAGTGAGTGTGTGCGTACCTAAAATAGACCCTATCCTAATCTTGCTGCTGCGCAGCAGATGGGAGAGCAGAAACCTGTTCAGCCCTTTCCGCTGTGACTCAGTCCCATTACCTAATCCAGTACGGTGCTGCTGCCCAGCTGTGTTTTTCCATCTCCCTAGCCCCAACCTGAGCTCCTTTGCCATCCCCGCGGCAGGAGGCTCTTCCCTGGGGCTGTCTCATGGCAGAAGTGGGTGGAGGGATGTGGGGATGCAGATTGGGTTTTTGGGAAGTGCATTCTCTGCACTGAGCCAGGCAAGCAGCGAGGTGCTGGAAGTCCCCATGGGGCTGGGGGCTGAGCTCATGCTCCACACCCGCTCTCAGGGAAGCTCGACTGCCACATCGCATTGCATTGCAGTGCGTTTTCCACTTGTTGTCTTTTCAAGAACTTCACTGCCTTGATTCCTGGGACCACGGTGGAGATTTTGCACAAGGACTCCAAGAATATCATCGAGCTGATTGTCAAGGCCTACAACGTAAGTGTGTTTTAACACCACAGCTGCTGTGGTGAGAGCGCCAAGAGCTGAGCTTGCTCAGCCCTGCCTCGTGTGCTCCACCCAGGCTTGGCTGCATTTCTCTGGTCCTCTCTGCAGTGGGTCACTGCTGACGTGCTTGCATCCACCCTGGGGAGGGAAAGGAGCTGCTTGTCCTCTTTAGGATGATGCTGATGGTTGGGCTGATGTCATCTGCTTGGTCCCTTGCTGGGCTGGCAAGAAAAGCAAAGCATGAGTGGAATTGCACCATAACTGTAACCTGGATTTAATAGCTGTCACAGATCACCATACTGTTAGAGAAAATAGATCATTTATTTGCTGTTTGATGCTCAGTGACCTGTCAGGGACGTGACGTAGCTTAGGCGGCATCCTTGGGTTGATTACAATGCAACTCTATGGAGATAAGGGGGGAGCAGAGTGACCAGAAGCAGCTACATAGAGAGCTAGTGGGATAGCTGTCTGAATTTGTTGGATTTCTGCTGGATCCTTATGGTTCAGCTCTGTGCTTCTGGGAGGATGCTGGGTGTGTGAGATGTGTAACTCAATGTGACCATGTATGAAAGTCTGTTGTGGAAATACATTGTTCCACCCGTGTTCTTTTTGGCTAAACTGAAATACTGTGCTGTTCTGGGTCAGCCCTCAGGTAGGGTTCTTCATACACGCAGTGTCTGAGCTGATCTTTGCAGCCAGGGGGGCAAACAGTACACTGATTTCCTGAACCCATTCCCAGCAGATCTCATAATGTTCCTCTCTACAGCACTAATGGGTTTCCCATGGCAGGTGGCCTTTATGTCAGCCATCCTTGGAGCCGCTGCAGGTTCAGAATTCCCTTGTGTTCACACTGAAATGCTCCTCCTTAGGGTGTACCCCATGCCGTTACAGCTTTGTTTCAATCAGAAGTTGCTCCATGGGCAAGGTCCTTTCTCTGAATCTCTCTGGAGTCTTCTGCTCATTTCTGAAGGCATTGCAGGCCTGGGGCCACCAAACAGCACAGCAGCAAAACCCCTCCAGTAGTGGCTGCAGTGCCATGGAGGTATGCTGCTTTGCAGTGCCAAGTGGATAATAATAATTGGATTTAAATTAGGCTAATAGCATTACCCAATAAGACTGATAAGAAATCTTGGTGTTTGCATCAGAACGTAAGAATGACCCAGGTGGGGTCATACTGTGGTCCTTCTGACCTGCTGTCCTGTGTTCTGTAGCCTTTGTCTTTTTTGGATACCACTCACCATGCGTCACTTCCAGCCATCAGAAGAACTAAACAAAACAACCTTGTTTCACATTAGTACTTATAAACAGAGTTTTCCCTTTATCCTTTATTTTGTTTTGGCTTAAAAAGTCTGGGTTGTGCATCAGGGTGGAGAAATGAGAAGAAGAAGAAAGGGAATAGGAGCGTACCAAAACATCACGATGCAGAAAGTCTTTCACTTTAAAAGGTTTCACAAAGAAAGAGATTTTACCTTTTTTTTGCCATAGAAAACCTAGTATTTGCTGTTGACTTATCCAAAAAAGTCTGACATTTTCTCTTCAGAGGAAAGTTTTTCTGACCAGTTCGTGCTGAATCAAGAAAGCAGGACAGAGTTGCTGATTCAGTTTCAAGTGTGTTTTTATGTCTCCTTTGTGCAGTACAAAAGGCATCATGGGATGGATGCCAGTGGAGCATCAGGCTCTGCACTCTTACAACAGACTTCGCTATGGGGGAGGTGTAGATGTGCACACAAGACTCTGACCTACAGCTTGGAGATGAAGCAAATGGTCCATTTGTGGTTGAGAATGTTTCCTTTTTTATTTTGTTGTGTATGCATCTTTCCAGTACAGGCTTCAGTGGTCATCATGACCCTTGTAGAGTGCATAAACTGTACTAACTGTACATAAACTGAGAGCAAAATCCCCAGGTGCTCCAGTCCAATTCCAGGTATTGTTTTTTGTACTGGTGTTTTTTGTACCTGGCTGTCTTCTGAATACAACAGAAGATACCAAAGCGGAATTCTTTGCAAGAGAAACCTGCCTGCCTGTATTAACCTGACAACTTTCTTTCTCATTGTATTTCCAGAGCATTCGATCCAAAGTAGAACTCACTGTCTGGGACAGCCCTGAGGACATTGGCTTGACCTTCACTGCCACCTGCCAGGATGGATTGTCCTACCCTGGGCTCAGAAAATGTGGGGATCTCAAGATAGGAGATACGGTGAGTCTGTCTATCTGCACATCCCGGCTGCCATCTTCCTCTGCTAGCCTCAAAACTGTGCTATGATAATGTAAAAGCCCACTGAGAGCAGCTCTGCCAGCTGAAGAGCTCTTCTCTCTTCATGGCAGGGTAGGTGGACTAGATGGCCTTTAAAGATCCCTTTCAGCTCAAATGGTACTGTGTTTCTGTTATTCTGTGAAGTCTAGACGCACCTGAACATGTTGAGCATGACCAGGAGAGCGTGCTGTCACCTGGCATCAGCACTGCATTGCAGGGCCAGCAGGCTCAGCCTGTCTGGGAATCCTGAGCCCTTCTCCAGGCCTTTGCTGTTTGCAAGGACTCATTATCAGGATGATTTCCTTATTTGAGAAGAACAGCTTTAAAAACATACCAGAGCGCTAAGCACTTGGGCATATAAAAATAGTTAGGAAGAATAAACAGTAGCTGAACCTTTACTCCTCCAAATAAGGGCTATGTGAAGTGTTAAAAGGGGAGGCGGCCTCAGCATTTTAGCTGACATTACTGGATTTCAGCTCAGCGGGTAGAATCAGTCCCTGGAGCTGTGCCAACCATAGGCACGTGCCCTCCTGATGTCCTCAGCAAAGCCAGGGCCCCCTTGGGGCAGGAGCATTATTCTGATGGCTGAGCCTGGGCTCTGGCCTTTGGCATGAAGACAGAGCTCACGCAGCTATTGAGGTTTGTCCTTGCATCCCCTCCTGCTCAAAAGCTTCTATGAGCATCAGAGTCTAGCTCCTGTGAACAGCTGAGAGAGCTTCCCCAAGGGGGTTGACATCGACACCGGGTCCTGAAATGCTGGGGGTCTCGTACTGGTGGCATGTGGAAGGGAGCAGGGTGATGCCCTGAGCTTGCTTTCTGATGTAATGGCCTTAAGTTGTACCAGAGAAGGTTCAAATTGGATACTGGGAAAAACCTCCTCTCAGAATGAGTAATGAGGCACTTCACAGGCTGCCCAGGGAAGAGGTGGAGTCACCATCCCTGGAGGTGCTCAAGAACCATGGAGATGTGCCACTGAGGGATGTGGGTAGCGGACATGGTGAGATGGGCTAGAGTTGGACTTGGTGATTTTTGTGGTCTTTTCCAACGTTAATGGTTCTATGATTCTATGTCCTTCTCTGCAGTTTATGTTTGTTCCATAATTAGGGCTTTATGAGTGATGCAGGTTGGGATTCTCACAGAAGGTGCTAAATCCTTCACCTTGTAGACATCTTTGGTCCTTGTGCTACATTGGCTAGATCTGTGCTGGTACTTGCTTTCAAGTAAACGTCATATTTTTGCTGTTATGAAAAACCTGTCTGTTTGCTAGACTTTCACCCCAGTTATTTCAGGCAGGCTGCCTCCTGCTTCACAGAAACCAGAGGTCTGTGATGAAGAACATTAACTCTTGTGGGTGATGGCAATAAGCCTTGAAACTTCACTCGAATGCCTGTGGTATGTTTTGAAATGAGCTACCCACGGAATAATGAACACTTTGGTGAGGACTGAGATGTGGGTTCAGCAGGCAGAAGCTGCATGGGCTATGTGGGGGCATGAAGATGGTGAGGAGAGTGGCTGCACAGTTGTTTGGGGCTCCCCTAGCACAGCGCCAACACTTCCCTCTTGGTGGTTCTCCCCTTGGTGTGTGGCTTGCAGGGATTGAACGTCAGTTTTGTGCCTCTGTCCCACTTGGGTCACACGTGGCCCATATGGGGAACCAGAGTGGCGGTGAGGGGCAGAAAGGAGGTCAAAACCTTGATGGACTATCAGGGCGCTGAGGTGCCCACATGAGGTGGAGTTAGGGCAGTTCATCCGTACCTGGGAGGCCATTTTGGGCTGCACATTGACTCCCCTCTTGCCCTCTCTCTCCAGGTTTCCTTTGAGGTGTCGGTGGAGGCCCGTGGCTGCCCTGCTGAGGACACCTCCCATGTCTTCACCATCAAGCCAGCTGGCTTCCGTGATACACTGGAAGTGAACGTCACCTACAACTGCCTCTGCGGCTGCACCGGTCATGCGGAGCCATCCAGCAGCAAGTGCAGCAGCAATGGGACCTATGCCTGCGGGCTGTGCGAGTGCGATGCCGGCTACCTGGGGGCCCGCTGCGAGTGTGAGGAGGGGGCCGGCGGGGAGACCCAGCCTGGGCTGTGCCGTGAGGTGGAGGGAAAGCCCGTCTGCAGCGGGCGGGGGGAGTGCAGCTGCAACCAGTGTGTGTGCTATGAGAGCGAGTTCGGGAACATCTACGGGCCCTTCTGTGAGTGTGACGACTTCTCCTGCGCCCGATACAAGGGAGTCCTCTGCTCAGGTAGGTGCTGTCCCACCCCTCACTCTCTGTTTTGTCCGGGCTGCAAAGTGGCAGGTTTGGTGTTGATTGTTTGGGAGCGTATTTGCTGATGTGCAGCCTTAGTCCTCATGAAGCCTCATCTGGAGTACTGTGTCCAGCGCAAGAAAGATGCAGGGTTGTTGGAGCAGGTCCAGAGGAGGCCATGAGGATGCTCTGAGGGTTGGAGTAGTTCTCCTGCTGAGAAAGATGGGGAGAACTGGGTTTGTTCCGCCTGGAGAAGAAAAGGCTCTGAGAAGACCTCATTGTGACTTTCCTGTACTTAGAGGACCTTATAAACTAAAGGGAAGGTGACTTTTTACATGGTCCCATAGTGTGACAGGACAAGGGGGAATGACCTTAAGCTAAAAGAAGTGAGATTTAGGTTAGATATGAGGAAGATACTTTTTACTCAGAGGTGAGGCATTGGCACAGGCTGCCCAGAACGCTGTGGGTCCCTGGAGGTGCTCAAGGCACTGAGATGGAGAGTGGCAACCAGCCCATGGCAGGGGGCTGGGACTGGGGGGTTTTAAGGTCCCCTCCAACCCAACCAATCTGTGATTCTATTACAACAATCACAGGCTTGGATTTTCCCAAGCTTTTTCTTGCCTTCTTAAATTGCATTTCTCCACTTATGCCATGTGCCCACATAGGAACCATCTTTTTTTAAAGGTAACACATTTGAAGCAATCCCCTGGTACATGGCAGGGGAAAGGAAAGGTTGAGTTTTGGTTTGTTACTCATTAGAGAAAATCTGTGTTGGAGATTCCTAAAGAGACTTTAATGCAGATTTTTCTACCTGCTGGGAAAACAAATCATCCACTGGTCAGGATTTAGCCGGTGAGTTTTGCTTCATCAAAGGTGGAGGAACTATTTAGCAGTGTTTGCTAAAATAGCAATTCCTTTAATTCTTTTTCAGCCTGAGGTCATGTAATTTATCTTGCACACGTTGCCTGGATCAACCCTAAGACATAACTCTTTCACCTGAAGCTGAATGAAATGTTATTCTTCAAAACTTCTTTGTTTTCCAAGTGAAATATTTCCTCAAGTGAAAATCTCAGACCGAATTTCCAAAATGCTGTGCAGGTTTGCGTTAGCTCTCTTGTTGGTAGAGTAAGTTCAGAAAAGCAGCTGTTTTTCACTGTTCTTTGGAGAAGTGGAGGGATTTTTCCCCACTGTGCCTAACCCTGCAGGCTTCTGAGTAAGTGATGAGCTACGCCTGGGTAGTGCATTTATAGAATCATAGGAATACTAAATTTGGAGAATATCGCTAAGATCACCAAGTCCAACTCCAGCCCATACCCACCTTGCCTGCTAACCATGTCTATCATGTGCCACATCTCCATGGTTCTTGAACATCTCCAAAGACAGTGACTGCCACTCCCTGGGCCATTGGAGACTGTTGTGTTGGTAGGCAAGTTGGGGCTGTTGGGGCACTGTCTGCATATGGGAATGGCAATCCTCTGGCTTTTCGCAGCAACTGGAAACAGCACCGTGGCAAGTCACGTGTCTTCTGTTGCACCTAGCCAAGGGCTGCTGGTGGTGGGAAGAAGGGCAGAGCTGGTTTGGGATGTGCCAATCTGAGAGTCATTGAAAAGTGTTTTTTTTTTTTTTTTTAAAGCTGTGAAAGAAAACAAAGCGGAGGCTGAGGCCAAGCAGCTCCAGGGATAGACTGGTGGGGTAGTTCTCACCATGCCTCCTGGTATTTTATTGTTTTGTAGCCCTTTTTTCTTCTGAATTCCAACCTATTGAGTAAGTTTTCTCAGCCCAAGGGGCTTAGGACTTCTCCAGCCCACCAAAAGTGCCTGAGCTTGCACAGCAGTTGGTGTGGGGTGTGCCTCAAACTGCCCCTAAAGAGCAGCAGGTCTGTGGAAGAAGTAGCCATGGTGGAGTCAGCTTTTCTGAAGAAAGAGAGGACGGAAGAGTTTCTGAAGACTACATACAGCTGTTCATCATGTTGGGAGCTTCAGCACAGGGTCTGGCCTTTCCTAGACAGTTTGGATGGCTGCCATGGAGAGACAGAGCCCTCTGCTCACTGCCTGCCTCCCTGCCTGGAGCCCAGCTCAGGAATTTGCAGATCACTGTGCATCTCCATGGCTTTTGGACCTCTTGGCTGCCTTCCAGCAGATCTGACAAAAGAGGAAACATCTCAGTGCTAATTGCATTCCTAAAGGTCCTATAAAATGAGTTAGTAAGAGGGAGGAGAGGCCTTGGTAAGAGCATCATGCATTGGCCACTAATGAAGCAGGACTGGTTCTCTGGAAGCTACGCTTTGTTAGCTGCAGTGCTCAGACCCGTATTTGTAGGGGGTGTAAGTAGTACAGCATCTCTTTTATTTTAGTGTGTCTACAGAAATTTCCTTGTCTTCACCACTGCTGACGCAAAAAGCTAACATCAGCAATAGGGTGTCAGATTTGCCACCCAAAACCACTTCTGAAAAGGGATTTAGGAAATGGCAACTCAACCAAAAACCCGTGGTTACTTGCACAGAGACTCTATCTACATAGACCTCCAAGTGCCCTGTGGAAACTGAAAAACTTCAAAAACTGCTGAGGGTGTGCAAATCTTTCATGGCCTCCATAGTTATATCTGACTGCTTCCCTTTCCTTGGTCTGCTAAATGGGGAAGAACTCTGGGTTTTTGGCCGGTGCTGGCACACAGTGACATAAGGCTTTTGTTTGTTTTGCTACAGCCTCACATTAGAGATCACACTCCTGCTTCTGCAATTTTTTCTAGGATTTCCTGGTTGCAGGCGCCGCATCTGGGTTCAGCAGCTCCATCCTTGTGCTGGCTCTCATGGGAAGATGCTGCTCAGTGCCAGTGCTGCAGTTTCTGGTTGTGCAAGAGTCACAGAACACGCTAGTCCTGTGCTTTGAGGGCAGTGCTCATCTACTTGCACCACTGGCATCTCTGCCTTGTGATTTCTGCCTTGTGATGTAGCCTCTTACTGTACTAATACCTACAGGCTGACACACTTGGCCTGAAAGCAGATCTTTTTCCCCACTTACTTCTGAAGTCATCATCTGTCTGCTTGCACCAGTGCTAGTGTGCCAGGGAAGGTCTCAGATGCAGGAACAGAAGGAACCCAGTTGTAACTATTCCTTTTTTCATCTCCTCAATCTTCATTCCTACCACACCAGCTTTTACCAGAATCTGCTGTGTTTTATTAAGAAAGAAGTGAGCAGTGCTGGGTGGCTCCAGACGTGGAGCTGGTAGCTGAGTGTGGTTGGGGAGGGGAACTTCCCTGTGCCTGCAGCTTTGGCTGCTTGGCTGCCCTGCCATGCACAGCAGGTGGTGGATAGCCCCGAAGGGAAAAGGATGCTCTGTGAAAGAAAGAGGGAACAGAGCTTAAACCACATCTGCTGTGTTTTTCTTTTCTGTCATGTCAAGTTTTGCTATCTTTGTTTTTTTTTGTTTCTTTTTCATTTGGGCAATTTAAAAAAAAAAATAAAAAAAATGGGGGCTTGAGTGAAAATGCAGAATCTGAGTGCAGGTGTACATCACTGCCTGGAAATGCAGAAAGATTTCTTTTGTTGTTAGTGTTACAGGGCTGTGTCTCTTTTCTTTCCCTCTTTGCATCCTCCCCATCTTGGGCAGAAGTAAGTACTGTGTGCCCATTACTACTTCTCAGCAACCAGCAGATGTGGTTCAGGCATCTCGAGATCCTCTGCTTAAGTGAGGAAAAAGGAAACCTCTGGTTTGTGGTGTACCTTTCCAGACCTAGCCCATACGCATCACCAGATGGAAGCTCTCTGCCCATGAAATGTTTTGGCTTTGATGTGAAATTGTACAGACACTGCAGACATTTTGTAATAAGCCAAACCCAACTGGGGGGCCTCCTCTGCTCTCCTCCTTTCTCTGGGTTAAGCCGCTAAGCTGGGCATGTTCCATTTGCTCTCATCGCATGGCTTAGCATGAAGAAATTAGGGGTCATCAGGTCAGCTCTGTTTGCTTCCATCATGTGGGGCAGCCTGGAGAGATGTAAGGTCCAGGGCAGCAGGGCTTGGGGCTGGAGGGATTAAGAGGATTCCTTCTGCTCCTCCCCTTGCTGCTGGGCAATTGGGAAGGACTGGAAGGGCATGCAAATTTGTGGTGGCCCTTGCAGGTGAGAGGGAGCATCCCCATGAGTCTCCTGAAATCTCACTCTTTCTCCACCCTTCCCCAGCCTTTCTCTTCTGCTTCCTCTCTGTATTTATTTCTTTTTAAACCTGGTTTCTGTTCCACTCTCTGCAACACACTGCTGAGTTGTGTGCTGTGTTCCTTTGAGTGTATGCCTTTCCCATCCTGCTCCATGCCAAAGGTAGAGAGCTGAAGACCTAAAATAGCATAAGGAACTTGCACTCAGCTCCTGCCTTCCCCTCCTAGGAGCTCTTTTCCCTTTTGCACAAACCAAATGGTACCTCCTCCTCTCACCCTGGACTTCTCCCTTAGGTGCCAGGTCTGGGCTGGATCCTTAAGGATCTCCCCAAGGCTGTGCTCCAGCAGTGCGGGGGGATTTCCCAAGGACCATATGTGCTTGGGGAACACTCATATGTGTCACCTATATGTGTGCTGGGCACTCGCTTAGGGATTTTTCTGTTTCCAACCCCATCTGTTCTGATGCTTGCAGAAGGGCTTGGACCAGTTTTGTCAGCCCCAAACAGTTACAGCCTGGGAGAAGCCATCAGAAACTGACGGATTTGGGGTTTTGTCCTTGATGGATTGAGCTCTGTTTCTCCAAAAGTCCCATTCCATGCACAGGAGCAAAATGCCAGCTTTTCTTACCCCTCCTTTCCCCCCGACCAGGCCCTCAGTGCTGTTGCAGCCCTCCCCAACCCTGGCAGGGATCCCTTCAAGGACCTGACTGCACAGAGTGCTGCTGTTCCAACCGCTTTTCACTTGGTGTTTCTCCTTGCCCTCGAACAGGCCTTTTGCAACCATTAATGCATGCTAATGAGGCATTAAATGCCATGGCAGAATTAAAAGAATACGGCAGTGACGCTTTCTACATCTTTGGGAGCCAGAGCTCTGCCTGGGGTCTCTCTTAAAGCAGCAGCAAGAAGTGTCATCTGATGGCACAGCCTGACCCCATGTGCAGGTGCAGCTGCTCCACAGACTACAAACTCCAGAAAGCCACCAAAATATGAATGATACAGACTTGGAAAGCAAGCTATGCTGAGCATGTGCTCCTCAAAGGGAGATGATGGTGTGGGGTGGTCTTGCCTGAATGCTTTGCCTTTATGGCTGGTTCCTTTGGTGCCTGGATTTGACCTTTCTGATTACACTAATTAACAGAAAGAAGTGGTTGGAAATGAATGCTGTGTTTTGGGTTGAGAAGCTAACAGTCTAAAGCAAGCAGGTGAATGAAATTGTGTTTCTTATTGGCATGCACAGACAGCCCCTGAATTTTGCTCACTTTAGAATACCAAACATGAGACCTAAGAGTGCTGCGCAGCTGTGGATTCTTTCTCTTTTCCTATATCTTATTTTGAATGAAATTCTGACTTCTTTCAGCTTCTTTGGGAAGGGAGAAATCCATCCCCAAACCATGGACCTTTGGTGAACTTGCACCAGATTATGTGTTTGAATCCAAATGCGGAACTGGGCAAGGCTCCCGCAGCACTGGATTCTGCAGTGAAAGAATGTCTCTTTGCTCTGGGGACCACTCCTTGTAATGAGGTCCAGCTGAAAGGACATTCAGCACATTTGTTCCTCGGTAGGCTGGGAGTTAGCCTGCTTTTCATTTTAAGGATGGGCTTGAACCATAGAATTTGACCCTAGAGTTCAGGCATCTGGGATCCTGCAGCTTTGTTTTGGAGCCAGGCTTTATTTTAAGAATAAATCTAAGGGAACTAGGTGTTTTTTTACGTGTGCTTTCTGAAATCCATCCCTGCTGACCTGCCATGCTGCTCCTGCAGAGATGGATCAAGGAGTATGGAAGTGGGGTCCCTGTCCCCTATGACACTCCGTGTCAGGCTGGATGGGGCTCTGAGCACCTGGTTGAGCTGTAGGTGTCCCTCCTCATTGCTGGGGGGTTGGACCAGATGGCCTTTAAGGGTCCCTTTCAACTCAAAGGATTCTATAAGTGGGGGAGAAGCTCCTGGTTGTGGGTCCATGGATCATTACTTGCAGCAAGGAAGCTTTGGTAATAGGAATTATCAGGAATTGTTTTTGCAATGCCTCCCGTGCCAAGCTCCTAAGAGGTGATGAAGCCATGGATAAGCATGTACTCAGTTTGGCTGGGTTACTTCAACCCAGAGCAGTACTGGAACCACGACACCCATCCCAGTTTCATCCCCTCAGTTCTGGCAGCCCCACACCACTCCTGGTAGCTGTAGCAGAGTCAGCAGTGGAACCTGAAAGCTCCGAATTCCCAGCTATGGGTCCCCCTCCAGAAAGCCACATGGGGCTGAGGAGCTCATGTAAGCAAAAGTCAGGAAATCTGTGGAACGCTGAGATTTCTTAACCAGAAAAAAAAAAAAAAAAAAAAAGGGCTTTATTTTAAGAAATGCAGGAAATGATACGTAAAAAAGCCAAAATGGGCAGCAAGGACTCATCTTGTGACTACATTTCAGTTGCACTTCTGCAAGGGAGAGGAGGAAGATGAGGGAAGGCTGGCAGGGCTCTGCAGGAAATCCGCTCTGCCCCAGCTCACCAAAGTGAGCGTGCAGTTCCCAGAGCCCTGAGCTCCCTGCCCAGTTCCTGTTTAACCCAAAAGCTCCCAAGTGAGGGAGAAATGGCAAGGATGAGGGGGGTGAGGACTTTTGTCATTGGGATGTTGATAGTAACATGGAGTTGGTGATGCAGTTCGTGTTGCCCAGGGCTGAAGTCACAGCTCAGGCATGGATTTCTTCTTCCAGTTTTGCTTTTATTGGTCTGCGTTGCTGATGCTATTTTCAGTGGTGGAACTGTGAGCTCTGCCAGTGCTAGGGTTGAGTAAAGTATTATTTAAAGCCTCTTCGATTCATGGCCAAAACCCCTATGCTTTGAGATATAAATATCTGCTCACATTAATGCAGCGGCAGGATGCACAAGTTTGTGGTGTCTTGTGTAATTAGCATACAGAAAAGCTCTTTTTCCCTGTTATCTGCCTTTTAGTGCTTGGTTTGTTGTTTCAGTGCTGTGCTGTGGGTAGATGAGCATGGGCGAGTGCTCTTCTGGCACGAGTGGAGGCAGTCGGTGGACACATTGCAGTTTACACAGAGACTTCAGTACCCTTTTGCAGCAAGGACACTGGGCTGGGGTGCTCCTGCAGGACAAGGGAACACTTCCCATCCCCACTTCATTAACTTTCCTGAGTCCTCCCTGCCCACCAGTGCCAAGCATCTGGCAGCGCAGTGCTCATCAGCCTACGGCTCCTTTGAGTCATGGAAAGAGATTAGTGGCAATCCAGATGATTTATTTGCTTAAGCAGGCACTGCGTCGTACCAGAACCAAACGGAAAGTTTCCAGACTCTCCCAGCCTCTTCTTGCTGTCCTTCTCCCACCCATGCAAACTGTGCAGGACCAGAAGCTCCAATCCTGTACTAGCACAACAGGGCTGGTCCATCAGTGCCTCATGTCTGGGCTTTGGCTGCTCCCTCTGCTGTAGGCAGATATTTTTGGTGCCTTCAACTCTGGGGAATGCAAACAACACATAGAGCAGCAGGAGCAGCGGTCATGGCTCAGCACTCTGTGTAAGGGATTGCGCTGGTGAGGCTGCATTGCTTGGACATGCTTGCTCATTTTAACCGGGTCCTGCCCCAGCTCTCCTCTTGTTTTGTTGTGGTATTGTTGGTTGTTCTTTTCTTTTTAGAGCAGTCATGCAGGTATAAGGTCAAAAATGACAACAGCAGGTGCACAGAATTTGGGAGGTGTTACCCCTAACAATTAAAGGTTTACTGGTAAGTACATTACCAAAGTCAGAGGGAGCTTGTCATTTCTCAGCTAGATGGGGATCTTTTAAATGTCTCACGTCCTCTCATTTCAAGGATGGGAACAGCAGAAAACATCTTGTTATGTTTGGAGCACATCATGAATGTATTTTGGCTTCACAAAACCGCTCTAATAGAGACCATGCAAATCCAAATGGTTAAAGGCTGTGCTGATGTCCTGCACAGTGTGTGCTGCAGGAGCAGGGGGGGGCCTGGAGCACACCCTCCTCAGTAGTCTGGCTGTGTTTTCTTCTCAAAAATGAATCTGGGAAGCAGGGTTCATCTTGGGAGTGAATTCCCATCTCCGGGGCTCTGGGTGTACTTTGAGAAGCAGATCTGCTCCTGCTATGCCCCCATGAGGCATAAATGTGTCCCACCTAGCCTTCAGGCCATGCTGGATGGGAGATTTGGAGCACCACAAATGGAGCTCTCAGTGCTCGCAAAAGTGGCTGCTCTTTCAGGCTGGCGCAGGCAGATGGTAATGTCTTTGCTGCTAAAGGTCAACATGGAAATTCCCACTCTTGGCTTGTTCCCCATGGCGAGCTTCTTGCACTTTTAACCAGTGTGGCCAGGCAGAAAACACATGTCAACATATTTTTGAATTTCAGGCTCACGACCCAAGCTTAGTCACCTTCATATGGAAAGGCTGCTCTACTGCAGAAACCAAAGCCATTTTCTCCAAGAGGCTGTTTCTTCATTTTTCTGGTTGCAGTGCTAGAATAGGATACAAATTTGGAAGCAGTTGTTTCCCTTCCCCGTCTCAGTCTGTCAGGCTCCATTTCAGCACCCCAGTGCTGGAAGGGATGCATGGGATCTCTGCCCTCCTGGACTGACCTGGCACCAACTGCTGAACCATTTCATGAGCAGCAAGACTTCTAGAGGTGGATTTCTTGCAGATTTGCATCTTGTGCTGGGCTCTGTGGTATCCAAGGGGATTGAGCTGAAGTTAATGATGCAGGGCTGCTTTTCCTAGGCACTCCAGACAGGACCATGGGTGGTGTGAACGCATCAGATTTAAGCAGAGGAAGTAACCTTCAGAGGTCTTATAAACACAGGCTCCTCCCTCTAGTAATGTCTGAGCATAAAGGTTGACTCCAAAGCAAACGGTAGGAGCACAGAAGAGGCTGCTGGGATGAACAAGAAACCCACAGAGCAGAAGGTGATCCCAGGACTTCTGGCAAGGGGCACAGCTTGATGCTTCATGGTCCCTCTGGTGTTCTCAGGATGATGGGAGAGGCAGAGCTATCAGTGGTTTAGTGCTGATGAGAAGAGCATGTATATAGTTTATCTTCTCTCAGCTACTTGAGGCTGTTTCCAGCGGGAAAGCTGAGCTGTAATTAGGTTGCTGATGAGCCTTGTGGAGAAATCACGCCTTCAAACGCATCCTTGCTGCTCAGGATCAACCACAGAGGAATTCAAGCAGTATTTCCAGTGAGCTGATGGATGCTGTTCCAAAACCAGCTGCTGGGCAGGCAGCCATGGCACTTACTGTAATTGAAAGCCTTTAAGCCTGTTGATTTTCTCAGGCTGGCCCTTAATGCCAGCTCTGCAAGGGGATGCTCTGGCAGGGGAGGACCCTCACAGAGACACCAGTGTCACACAGCACTGCTCTGGTCGCTGCTGATGACCTTCTCGCTGCTCTGTCCCCTAGGCCATGGGGAGTGTCACTGTGGGGAGTGCAAGTGCCACACGGGCTACATCGGGGACAACTGCAACTGTTCCACCGAGACCGCCGGCTGCGTCTCCAGCGATGGGCAGATGTGCAGCGGCCGCGGCAACTGCATCTGTGGGAGGTGCCAGTGCACCGAGCCTGGGGCGTTCGGGGAGACCTGTGAGAAGTGTCCCACCTGCCCAGGGGTCTGCAGCACCAAAAGGTACGCGTGGGGCTTCAGGAGGGACTTCTCGATGAGGGGAGAGGGATTCTTTGGTTCCTGGGAGATTCCTGCTCACCCAGGTAGACAAGGTCCCTAGCATCCTGGCCAGCTGGGTTTGTACTGTCACCTCTCCAATGACAGTGTTGCAGGCACTGAGTATATGCATAGAGCAACAAGTGTTGCTGTCCACGTTCTCGTGGAGGTTCATGGCCCCTTTCATTTTAGTGCTGCTCTGCTCTGTAGGCTGGCAGCCCAGATTTGCTGAGCTGAACATTTCTGGGCTCAAGTAGCTGTGAGATGTAAAGAAAGGGCTGGCTGACACTTTGCAGAGGACGTGTCCTGGACACCAGCATCTGGCCACGCTTCTGCCTTGATCATAGACAGGAGGGATTTTGCAGTAACTGATATGCAGCTTCCTACATCCAAAGGGCAAACAGTCTCTAGACCTACAGCTGGAGACTATTCTTCACTGAATCCACCTTTGAAACAAATCCGTCCTTGTAATGAAAATGGTTGACCCTGAAGCTTCTCTTTCCCACCCTCTTTCTGTACTCAGTCTTTCTCTCTTTGTGTCTTTCTGAAGGGACTGCATTGAATGCAAGCTGTTTAACTCAGGAAGACTGGATAACCAAACCTGCCAAAAGCACTGCAAGGATGAGCTCATCACCACTGTGGATGTTCTCAGTAAGTACACAGCTGAATCATAGAATCATAGAATCATTAAGGTTGGAAAAAAAAGACAAAGGTGATCTAGTTCAACTATCACAACTGTCAAATCATCCTTACCGTGCACATTATCCCAGGTGCCACATCTCAATGGTTCTTGAACGCCTTCAGGGACACCTCCATCATCTTCCTGAGCAGCCTGTGCCACTGCATCAGCACTCTTTTGGAGAAGAAATTTTTCATAATTTCCAACCCAAACCTCCCTTGGTGCAATATTAGGCAATTACCTCTCATCCTATCACTGTTACCTGGGAGAAGAGGTATGCCCCACCATGGCATAGCCTGCTTTCTGAGAGTTGTAGAGAGCCTCCTCTTCTTCAACCTGAACAATCCCATTCCTTCACCCACTCCCCTTAAGACTGATGCTCCAAGCCCAGCAAGCAATATCCAGTAACCAACTGCTCTCAGCAAGACCAAGGCATATCTGTAAGGAAAGCCTCAGGTTTCTAAATAGTATTTAGAAAGCATAATGTATGACCCTTTATGTAGGCTGTAATTGGTATTGCTTTAAGCGTTTGTTAGCAACTCAATTGGTGTTGTGTATGTATTTCTGGATTAGCTATAGTCTCAATGCTAAGTAAAACATCCTTGAATTTAAATAGCATCTTAAAATCTGGATTCAAGCAGCCGTACATAATGTTTCCTCATTGCCTTTTGGAAGGAAGCATGTTAATTTCATTTAATGAAGTCATTTAGAAAAAATTTGAAAGAAATAATGAGTTTTATGAATTGGACATATGGATTGTTGTAGACGTGAGATGCTAATTGCTGTAAGGTTAGCCATTAGTACATCCCTCTGGGCATGCATTTGCTATGTGCAGCTGTGACTGCCTTTCTGAGCTCACAGCTGCATGAAGTCTGCCCAGGCCTGTCCAAAAAATTTGTTTCTTCACCACACCTGAGCAGGTCCAGGGCTGGTGTGTGTAAGGCCCGCTGTGGTCATTGCAAGAGAGCAGGATAAGATCAGGAGACAGGAGAGATTAGATGAGCTGTGAGAGAGTGTAAAGGGACAAAATGTCTCCCAAAAAAGGCATTCTCTAATCTCCCTGAGAATTCATCTAGGAAGAAGAATCCCCTGTCCTGCTCATTGTGTCCTCTTCTGAAGGTCATTCCACACCACGTCCCTCAACAGATACCTTTTCCCTCTTCTTTTCAAGCTTCACTCTGGCAGTCCCTAGTTACTCTTTTACAGGATAAAGGAGACCGAAACAGTGAAAGCTTCAGTCTCAATTCTGACCTTGACCTTGTCAACAGCCCTTGGAGTTGGGGCAGAGAGGCCAGTGCTTCTGGATCAAGCAGGGATGGCCATCCATGTCTGACATTTCTTACTTCTCTTCCATAGTTCATAGGGTATACAAGTGCTCTACCTTGCTCATTCTTTCTCTCAATTAACAACCAGTATGGTTTCCTACCTTCTCTTTTGTGGGGCTTGCTCTTGCTCTCCCCATCCTCACTGCAGCTTGCTGGGGAGTGAACCTGTCCCAGCGCACTGTGAGAGGTTACAAGGCCATCTTAAATGCTTCTGACCCACATGAAGCTCCTTTCTGATGCCCGGCTGCCCCATGTTTCTAAGAAGCCAGCACATACAGGGGATTAAATCTTAACTCCTCTGCCTGCCTATTGCACAACTCCAGAGCTAGCCTTCCTGCTGGCTGCACTCTGGGAGGTGAGACTGGGCTGTGGTTGGCCAATCCCCTGCTGCTTTCAGAGGAAAACAGCCAAATCTCTGTTTTAAGATGTGTTGGGGAATTATACTTATTCTTCTGTTGTGCTGCCACAGTCTGATCCTGGGTGGTGCTGAGATTTGAGAGCTCAGAACTTGGAAATCTGGGCTGCAAAATATTCCTAGAGAAAGTGCACAGGGACTCACAGGCAGACCCAGCCAAATCCTCATCCTCAAGTGTTTCTGTGATGCAGCATGTGTTAGAAATCCCCGCTGAAAGGCTGAATGCTGGTATTCATCACTGGCAGAAAGAAGACACAGGTTTGCACTGTCACAGCAGTGGAGCAGTGAGCAATGCTGGGATGTCCTAGGTGCCTTCTGGCTATGGGCTTGAACCACAGAACCATGGAACCATTTAGTCAGAAGACCCTTAAGAGCAGCAAATCCAACTACTACCTAACTCTACAAGTCCATGACTAAACCATGTCCCTAAGCACCACATCCACACTGCTCTTAAATATCACCAGGGATGACAACTCTACCACTTTCCTGAGCGGCCTGTTCCAACACTCTGACACCTAGTAAAGGCCAACAAGAGTCGTTACTATTGAAACTTTAATTGCTCTATCTCTTAGCAGAATATTGGTGCAATGCTGGGGCTGGAAGCAGTGGGGCCTGAAGGAGCCAAGTTATCTGCTCGATAGCATATAGGGGCATTAGTCAAGAAACTCACAAGTGTTATCTGTATCAACCTAACTGACGTAATTAATCTCCAGCCCTGCCTTTGGTGCCACAGGTGCAGGTAGAGTGGATGTTTATGTCCTGAGGCAGGAGAAGCTGAAGGCTGTTTGCAGCAGTGAGTCCACTGGGCTCCAAGCTGTTGAAATGGAGGGTATTAATCTCCCTGCTGAAGGCAGGTCAAAGGCATTGAAAGGAAAGACAAACAGAAGGGAGAAAGATAGGAAAGATAAATAGAAGGGAGAAAGGGCTGGGATAGCAGTGGTCATTAATGCCATCATTTCTCAGTGTGACAGACACAGATGCTAGTGACAGGCAGGGTATTTTCCAGGTGCCAGAACCTCAGCTGTGTCTTGAAGACCAATAGGACAAAGTGGCCCAGATGCCTTTCTTGGAAATGCTATCCCATAAAGGCAAGAGGTGCCCTGCAGGGCTCCCTGGCATGGCTGGAGGTGCTGCCCTGCAGGGGATGTTTCCAGGAGCAGGGCAGTGCAGGAAGGGCTGAAGGCACACATCTCTGGGAATTAATTTATCTCCTTTCTTGCAGCCACCCCATTTCCACTTTCACATGAAGCAAAATCAAAGTGTGCTGATGATTTCCAGGGGCAGTTTTTGTTCTCTGTGTTCCTCCATTCCTAGGGTGCTCACCTTGCTAATTCCCCATTTTGCTCAGACCATTTCCTTGTTCCATCAGCCACTCTGAGACAGAGTGCCTTGCAGCCGGACCAGGGGCAGCTGCAAAGCAAAGGTACCATGGTGGAGGCTTTTAGGCTTTTCCTAATGCTTTGCATTCTCCCTTCCCCCACGTGATGCTGTTTCAGCTCTCCCTACTGCTGGGGCTGGGCTATAATGTGCACCATATGTAGGATAGGAAGCCCCTTGTATGGGAAGGAATGCACAGTCCCCAGCATGACAGGGCTCCTGAATAGCTGGGGCTGGCTCTGATGCTGGGCCTCTGGGTGGAAACGAGCCTCTCCGAAGCACCTGGCTGAGAATGAAGGTGCTTTGACATATTGGGTGTGCTGTGCAAGTCACCAAGTTGCCCTTATTATTTCAGAAACGGATGACCCCAATGCAATCCTGTGTGCCTACCCGGTGAACAACTGTGTCATGAAGTTCACCTACTCGGAGCTTGCCAATGGGAAGTCCAACCTCACCGTCCTCAAGGAGCCAGGTTTGTGCCTCCTTCATTTTCCTTGCTGACAGCATGAGAGGTGACAAGGCTGTACACAGGTGCAAAAGAACTGAGCTGATTGAACAGGGCTGAAACACAGAGCCAGGTGCTTCCAGTGTGAAAGGCTTCTAAGATTGTGACGTGCACCTGAGCTGCCAGCGTTACTAGCAGGTGGCCCAAGAGCTTTCTGCCAGATCAGGTTGCTGAAATTAAATACAGCCTGCTCAGGAAGCAGCAAGTATGCCATGCCCTGGTTTGGAGACAGAGCCACTGGGAGGAGAAACATGAGGTGGGAAAACCACTGCTACTGCTCTAAAGTGAGGCTGCTAGGCATACCCCCACGAGTCCTGTGGATTTTTGCTTTTCCATTAACCAGCTCTGTTCCCAGCAGTGCAGTCCCTGTGTCCCAGTCCCCCCGGAACATCTGTCCCCTGCGTATTGCTTTCATCCCATGCAGAGCATGTTTCTCAGAGGAAACCCCATGTGGCATTGCAGGAAGAGCTGGCAAACACCCAGTGAGAGTTTGTCATGCTCAGCTTGGGTCCTCTTGAGGACACAGGCCAGAATGGGAAGTCCCAAGGGAGGCACATTTTATTTCATTGAGGCTGCAGCTTGCACTTAATTGAAAGACCAGTTGATTAAGTTAAGGCAGTTAAGATCCCTTCCTTTATGGAGAGGACTACTGTTGGTTTTTTTTTAATTCAGTCCTTGCTGCCAGTGCTGCCCCCAAAGCCACTTGCTCAGCTGCGCTCCTGTTACCCTGATCTGGGATGCACCTGTGCCAGAGCTGATTTCCTTCTCCCCCCTCCTTTCCAGCATGCAGCTCAGCCCCCAGTGCTGTGACCATCGTGCTGGCTGTCATTGGCAGCGTGGTGCTGATTGGCACCATCCTGCTGGGTCTCTGGAAGCTGCTCGTCACCATTCATGACAGGAGGGAGTTTGACCGATTCCAGAGCGAACGCACCCGGGCGAGATATGAAATGGTGAGCACTGGGGGGCTGCTGGGTGGGCCCTTGGCAATGCAGCAAACAACTGCAGTAATGGAAAACAGAGAGATGAAGGTGTGTGCTGTGCTTTTGGGAACATCAGGTGGACAGGTCTATGAGGAAGCATTCTGGGGAGGCTTCCTGGCCATAGGGTTGCTCAGCATTTCAGGGCATCAGATGGGATGTTGGGTAGGGCCTATCAAAGCCAAATCCATAGTTACATGTAGAGCAGAAAGGGGAGGATGGAAGAGGCTGTCCAGAGAGCTGTGCATGTCGCACACCCAGAGGTGCTCTGGGTTGGATGAGGCTTGCAGCAAATTGGTCTACTGGGAGGTGATCCTAGCCATGGAACCAGATAGGCATTGAGATCCCTTCACAACCATTCTATGACTCTGTGAGATTACACATAGCTTTGCCATGACACAGATTTTGTTCCTTACCTTTCTTCTTTGTCTTTTCCCAAAGGCATCCAATCCTCTCTACCGAAAGCCCATTTCTACGCATAATGTAGAGTTCACATTCAACAAGCTCAACAAATCTTACAATGGTACAGTTGACTGATCAGGTCTCAGCACGAGGGACCGCTGTGGACAATTGCTTGACTGTATTTGCTGCTTCTCAACTTGAAGATGGGATCCTCTTCAGGGAAGAAAATACTTTACAACAGGACTGGTCGATGACACGAGCCTGTTATTTGCACAGTAAGGAGAAAAGCAGCGTGTGCTGTCTGATCTGGGACATGCCGATGCCATGGCAGGCTCACCAGCTGTGCTTGTGGATTCTGAGCCCTGTGACTCCACAGCCCAGGTTTCTGGATCTATGAAACCTGCCAACGAAGAGAACCAAGTGCCACATTGCAGCTTTAGACATATCCCATCCCACTATAAAGGGTGAGTAGGCCAAAATCAGGGGAAGTCACGGCATTGCAGGTTGGGAGGGGGGAATTAGCTTAAAAAGAGGAGGGTGTTGGAAGCATTTGTGTAAGAAATTAGGATACATGAGTTCTGCAGTCTTTAGAATTTTTTTTTTATATAAAAACAAAATAAAACTATTGTGCATATATGATGCTGCAAGTGGAGTTTGTTGAGCTTAATGAGCCCCACACCAACAGATTGACTGACCTGAGACGCATTCTGCTGCCAGCACAGCATGTGCTGCCTTCTTTCTTTATCAGCAGTGTCTTATCAGCCCAAGCACTGCAGCCAGGAGCCGTGGTGACACTGCACAAGGTATGTTGACTTAATGCTGTAGTGTTGACTGAGGGCGGTGACTGCCAGAAGCAGTTCATGTTTCGTGTGGTGTTGTTTAAACAGCAGGGAGGCTGGGGGAAGCCCCAGGGACATGGGAGTTTGGTCAGAGGAAATGTTAAACAGCAAGCACCACTCCTGGGGCTTCACAAGCAGGCATGCAGCCTGTAGGCTGGCAGGTGCCAGCACAGCGTGCCAGCCTCACAACAGCCTTTGAGGGCTGCACAGCTGAGGTTTTAACACAGAATAGAGCTGGAAGGTCCAGATAGGTTGCTGGTTGAATCTAGTGTTGTTTCCCCCCCCCGAAATGTTCCCCCACCCCATGTTTTCCTCTGGAGCTGAGGTTTAAGTTACCCCAGATGACAGCTGCAGCATTAAACCCCTCCAAGCTCTGCCTTGGGACTGCAGCAGAAGGCCAGAGAGAAGCCAGAGCTACTGCTTTGCTTTTTTTTTTTTTTCCTTGTCTCTTTACCCTGAACAGACCATGCAATAGTCAGCTGAAGGAAGCTTGCCAGGGAAAAGCAAAAACAAATGGTGCTTGTTGTTTTGACTTGCTTTTCTCACTGGAAAACAGCCATGAACCCATCCTTCCGGATTTTTTTTTTTTATGTATTTGTTTTTGCCTCTATAAACAGGAGCTCCTACTTGCTCCGTACAAACAGCTCTCCTTCGAGAAGGTTATGGGCCCCCTCCTCCTGCCAGTAGCACTTCAGGAACACAACAAACCCCACTAAAAATAGCTCAGAATGGGAATTGGTAAGAGTGCAGCAAGTTGCACACCGTCGGCATGGGATCAGGTGTTCTTAAAAAAGAACAGAACAAAAACCAAAACAGTGCTGTCTTTGCGCTTGATTTTTTAATTCAGAATCCAGCAAATCCTCTGGATGATCTCCAAATCAGACCAAGCAAAGGCTGCTTGAAGTCGTACGAATGCTCCGGGGTACAGAACGATGCTGAGGTTGGCACGGGAGCAGGAAGAGCAGAGCTGCCCAAGGCACACCATGGCTGTGCACCACTGTTCTGCATGTGCCTGTCCCTGCAATTTCACAAGAAAAAGGAAAGGTCTGAGCACAGCCAAGGGCAGCAGCAGCTGCTATGGTGGCCAGCTGGCTATAGGAGCCAGTAATCTCATAGGAGCACAGCAGCTCTTCAGGGGAAGCTAGTGCTAACTGCATTTCCTACCTGGTGCTTAAGTACAAGGCCAAACTCTACATCCAAGAAGTATCATCTTACATAGGGCACAGGTTGTCTCTTATAAATCAGCTTTAGCTTGGTTCATTTCATTGCCACACACAAAGCATAAAGTGACCCAGGCAAGGAAAGGGCAGCAGGGAGGAAAGTGGTGGGAAAGAAAGGAAGGGCAGCAACTTTCTGACCTTGCTTTGCCACCTGGACCAGCCAATGGTGTGAAAGCGGCTCTGCTACAGTTGCAACAAAAAAGGAAAGGCCAGCCCATGCCCCCTTTTCCAGTCTTTCTTTTTCAGACCATCTTCAAGCTGTGGCATTTCCCAGAACATCAGCTTGGTACTGAGAGCACAGGCAATAGTAGCAGCTCTAGGAAGAGAAGCTAGGCTCACCATGAAGGAGTTGTTTGGGTAGAGCAAGCGTTGGGCTTCTAGATCAAGTTTGCTTTGTATTTCTTCTAATATCAGAACCTTTATACAACTAGTTAATTGCTTGTTTCCAGTTTTTATCAGCTCTCCTTCCAGGTTTGGCTTCTCCATAAGATTGCACATTTAAAAAAAAACACATAGGGAAGTGGTGCTTAGACTAGGAAGGTTTTACTTTACTGTATAAGCACATCTGCCTTTACCCTTGGAGCAGTTAGTGCCCAGCTCAGTCATGGGAATGGTGTATTTCAGTCAGCAGCAGTTTATTTGTGTCCCTAAATACACAGCCTGACCACAGCTAGCATTCCTGAATGAAAGCTAAAGCAGAAGGCAGCAGCAGATCACATGTGATGGAAAACATCAGCATTTGTCTGGCCAAATTGGAGTCCGGATGCCATTGCAACATCAGGTCCTCGTGTTCCTGCAGCCAGAGCTGGAGGCTGCTGTGCAGCCCTGGCCTGGGGGCTCACCTGCTCTCTCGTCAGTGTATTTCCTTATACTGCAGGTATTTCTGGGACTGTGTGTTGGGAAAGGCCAATCACAACCTCCACTGCACACTCCATTAGCGGTGGTGCCCTCTGCACAACAGAAACGTCTCACTTTGGATCTAAAACAATACCTGTCAGCACAGCAGAAATGATCAGGCTTCCTTCTCCTTTCTGCACTGGCCAACTCCTCACATCACGCTGCATTTTTCACAGCCTGACCATGGACAAGCTTATGAGAAAAAGGTCAGAGCAGGACACAGGTCCAGAGCATCACAAATGAGGAGTAAGTCAGCCCAAACCCACAGACAGGATTACTGCTATTAGCCTTCAAGAATCTGCCCTAAGGGGCTGAGAGAAAGCTGAAGCTCGAGCAGGCACCAAACTGGGCTGTAATTTGTTGCAGTTAGATCATGGAGCTGTACTCGTCACTGTGGCACAGCCCAACCATGACCTAACAGCTATTAGAAACAAACAGAACGCCCAGCCCTGTCTGTCTGTTCAATTACAAATCTTCCAAAACAGAACATTTCCCCAAATTGGTGACTACGGAACTCAGAAATGGAAACAAACTTCCTCTGGGTTACTGCACATTCCTTTGGTCCTTACTGTTTCCTAAAAGCAATGCTCGTGGCGCCTGCTGAAAGCCTACTGGAACAGCCTTCCACATCCTTTTAAGGGGAAGTGATTAATTTATTTTTTCTGGAATTAGGTCTTGAATAACCGTTCATGAAATTGTTTATGGAAACAAAAATATGAGCTGTCAACTACTGGCTGATAAAACAACATTGAAACTGTGACATTTGATCAGACCAGAGAATGAACTGCAAGACTTCCAGAATCATATATTATAATGCAAATGAGTTTTGTAAATTGTGACCTAGTTCCCATGTTAGAAGCAGTTGGGACCAACAGCAGGAACTATGCTGTGAATGAAGCGGGGGGGGAAGCAAGCAAATTGATGTTCGTTCTTAATTTGAAATGGATTTTTAAGCATGTTCAGGTGCCACAAAAAAGAGGCCCACAGGCTTGTTTGCTATATTCACTCTGAAACAAGAAAGCTTGTAGGAGGTAGGCAAACATGACTTTGTTTTGCTAATTGAAATGTTTGACTGGTGTCAAATGAAGCACCAGAATACTACTTGCTGTGACTGAGCACACGGTGGAGAATGGTGAACTGAAGCTTTCCAATCTGATGCTCAGAACCTTTACTCCAATATCTTAGATGGTGACTAGCTATTAGACAATGGCAATCTCTCAGTTTAGTTGCTGTTTCTTTCTCCTGACAAAGTAGCTCTTGGGTCTTTTTCAAGGTTTTAGCTGTGCAAATATCAGACACTTACTTGGTGCAATTCAGCACAGTTAGTGGGAAACACCGGACTCACAGAACCCTGCTGGTGCTCCAGCAGTGACCACTCCACCCCAAGCAGTTCTGCCTACTGAACCCTACTGTATCAAGTTGTGGCTTCAGGTGAGGGAGTAACCTGTTGAAAAGTATAAGTTTTATATTATATAAAAGTATACTTTATATACTTATATACTTTATATACTTATAAAAGTATAAGTATTATACTTTTATATACTATATATACTTTTATATACTATATATACTATATATATATATATAAGTATTTATATTATATAAAAGTATAAGTATATATTAAGTATATCTAGAGTTAAGTATATCTAGAGATGGTATCGTCAGCAGAAACTATTAGTTACGGAAGGGGTGGGCATTGACTCCCCTGAAAAATAGGGTCTCAGCTCCATCTGGTGGACAAAGCAGTTTTCTACAAAGCAGTTAAAGTGAGGAAACCCGGCTTCTGCTACCTCAAGGTCATCAGGTTGTTAATGAAAAGCAGTAAACAAATCCCAAAACCTCTGTCCACTTCAAAGGTCTGAAACTTCTTGGAAGTTGATGCAAAATATCAGACTACTGCAAGGCAGCTCATAATAGCCAACACACTCACTGAGTTCAGCGGTGAAAGGTGGCCAGGATAGCCTTCATCTTTCCTGGATGGACTTCTCCATGTTAATGTGGTACCTAAGAAGAATCCTGAACCAACCAAGGAAAAACAGAACACATGCAGAGTAAATTCTAATATCCTCTCCTAAGTAACGCATTTATAAGCTCCGTAAGAGGCACTGGGGAAACACTTCCAAGGAACATGAAATGCAAAAGGATAAGGTCATTAACCTCAGCATACCCAGACAACTAGGAAGCTTTTCAGCCACACATTTCTGAAGTCTGACTCCCAGCAGAGCACAGGGTCACAAATACAAGAAGCATACCATAGAGCCCTCAAATCCAAGCCTGTTTCTGTTCTTAAACAGGAAGCAAAAAACCTCCATTTGAACTTCAGGATAACCCTGTTCTCTTCATTTGAAAGGATGGGAAAAGAGTTGGTTACTATTAAAGCAAAAGAATTCTCACTGGATATAATTGTTCCTATTCTATGGGCTTTTTAAAAAGGGACCCAGTTTTCTCTGTGTTTTACATCAGCACAGGAACAGCAATGGTCTACAACTGTACCACCATTCATCTGCCTTCTTCACACTTTCCTGTAAGCAATGAAAATTCAAGCCAATTTCCACCGTATCTATAGTGGGTGTATTTGAGGCAATCCCACCCTTTCTAATCAAAACCTTTCATACATGGTATTTCAAAGTAACACTTCTTCATAATCCCGAGGTGTGGAAAATAATTCCCAGAAGTAT